ATCTCGCAGTACACGCGAGAGGATGACCCGGAAGCCGTGAAGAGACGTGCAGCGTCTGACCCCGAGGTGCAGCAGATTATGTCGGACCCTGCGATGCGTATCATCCTGGAGCAGATGCAGAAGGATCCGCGGGCCCTGCAAGAGTGAGTGCCACACAGAACCACAGACATGGGTTACTCACAATTATGTGGCCATCGTAATGCGCAGTTGGATGAAGGCCTCCCGGAGTCGTTCTCTCATGGTCCTGTGATGTAATAATCCATCTAAAATCTACATTCGAGCTGATTTCATTGCTCCCTTTGTGGTGGATGTGCCCTCGGACGTGTTTCCTCCTTTGGCTGCCACTGTAATTATCACGCCCATAATCCCTTTATAGTAATGTGTCGTGCCCAAGCCCACTTTTACTCTTCATGTGCATCTATGCAGCCATGCCAAGCAAAAACCTCTCGCTTTTAATGCGTCCATCTACACTTGCTGTATACTCTGCTGCTCCATTTTGATTCGAAACATTGGTCCATCTGTGGCGCTTGCCTTGTCCTACGGGACACTCGCGCAGACAAAATTTGGGAATCCTCCTGAGCCTTCACTCCAGTAAATAAGATGCACGTCGGATGTCCAGGCAGCGTGCATTGTGATGCCAGTACAGTACATTTTTTCGAGGTTCAGCCACGTACACCTCCAGTTCACTCATCACTCTACAGCAGTACCCCCCCCCCACTCTCTGCTTCCACCCATACTAAGCTCCCCCACACATCTCAACCATCCCAGCACACATCTCAATTTCAAGTCCTCACTTGTATTGAGTGGTGAACCTTGCTACACTTGGCAGAAGTTATTTTGTAAAAAAAAAAAATCCGAGTGATCTTGTTCAAATGGACGCGTGTAAATACTTCGCTCTCTTCCAGGCACTTGAAGAACCCAGTGATTGCGCAAAAAATCCAGAAGCTGATCGACATCGGCCTCATTGCCATTCGGTGATGCCTTCAACTACAAGGGAAAAGATAACTAAATAATGAATCCTCCAGCCTGTGTCAAGAGGCCCGAAGTAAAGGCACACCCACGCACGTGAATAAAACTTGTATGGCACCGCTATCTATTCACGATGATGACTCGGTGCGTGATGACGGGGTTGGGGGAGGGGAATGTCTGTTTAACATAGTGGCTCATTGTTAGCGTTTTTCAGTTTGACATTGTGCGCGGCCACCCGTCTCCTTCGGTTGTGTGCTTTGGTGCTGTGGTCTTCGGCAATTATGGTAGAATAAATGACAGATCGAACACGAAAGACGCCTCCAGAAATGATTAATGAACCACGTCTTGGACCCCGCCTCCTGTGTTTGCTCTGGTTCTCCCTCGCCTTCCTATGCATGTGAAAATGTCCACAGGGCACGCATACCTACTTAACCTACACAATGTTAGGCTGCATACTTCATTCCCATTTAAATTGGATGTGGGAATTGTATTATTACATTCATTTATAACAGGAAGCATTTTTTTAAAATGTAATGCATAATTGGAACTTATTTCAAGTTACTTGTGTCTTATTGTAAAAAAAATATCTCAGATATTTAATAAACATTTAGTTGGCATTTGAAAACAATCACTGTTGGAATTTACATGTTGATATGTGAAATCTGAAAAACTTTTTTTTTTCCTATATTTAAATATTTCGACACTAGTAGAGATTAGCAAAGATGAGTGGTGTTATAGATTATTTTCCACTTAAAAGCCTAAGGGGTTTTCGGTGGGAATTTGGCAACTTAAATGCACTTGACCTTACTCTTACAATATGCACTTTTAAGCTTCAAGGTCGAGTTGAGTGGGGTTTATGATTGAGACAAGACTCCTTGTGTCCTCTCCAGGCGTTCTTAAGTTCCAAAAGGTGTGTTCTAGTGATGGCCACACAATGCATCGATTAGCTTAACATTTTTGTTAATTTATGCACTCGTCGAACTTTGCGTAATAATTGATGGCTGCTGAATTTGCCTATGGTTTGCAATTAATATGACCCTCTTGAGTGTTCTTCATTGCAAGGCCCGTGGGCCACTGGCGGCCCCTGGTGGCCTTTAGTGTGGCCCCTGACGTGCGGCCCCCGACAATACACAACACGTGACAACACCCCTTGCAGGCGGTGTGACGGCCATCACACTGATGAAGTCTTATCGGCGAAAGTTGCCCCCCTCTGAAAGTTTGTGGAAAAACACTGCTCTACAACCACATATAGGTGCTACAATGCACCAAAATATTTACGTTGTTGTGGCCGTATTGTGAGAGGTCATCGAATTGTGAGGGTGTGAGATGTTAAGAGGCCTAATTAGTCCATGGGCCAGCGCAAACTTTGGTACCACCAATGATCAGAAATTAACGTTACAGTACCTATATATGGTTAATCAGTGAATGTGCTAACCCGCTCTAATCACAATTGTTGGCCACATTAATAAATTTGAACCACTACAGTTACGCCATCGCATGGTACTGTACCGACAGTGAAATTATCTGTTCAGGGCTCATGGACTAAGTATCATCAACACGATAATATTGGTCGCGACGCATACGCGATCTAACTCAAAAAGACCTTTGACTATATCAGTGTTGATACCACAAGGACATCGAGGGTGGTCAACAAATGACCCAAGACTTTTGTTTGTCTAACCGTAAGTTACATAGAAGTAGCACACCCTCCTACACACACTTAGGAGACTTGCAAGAGTCATACTGATATTTTTAATTCTCAGCTGGAATGAGCCGCTTTGTGCTGTCATTTCACAACACTTAATCTGTATTCTTGGTTCTTTCGGTAAAGTCACGTAGAAGGGAAACAATAAAAAATATTGTTTCCCTTCTACGTGACTTTACCGAAAGAACCAAGAATATGAATCCCTGCAGTCACGAAAGCTTTAAATCAAAACTTAAGAATCTGGTTTAATAACGGGCGGCTGAAACCCAGATTCTCGAACACGTGTGGGTTGGTGGACCAAAAATGTTGTGAAAATCCCCGTGGACGTGAACGTGGAGCTGTAACCCTGCCTTGCCAGAAGAATGTGGTGCAGCTAAACGTGGACTCCAACTGTTCCATCCATTTGGGAGAAGTGTTGCCCCCCTCGCATGCGTGGTTTACTCAGCGCTCCAGTTTTCTCCCATATATAAACATTAATTGACCAACAACCCCCCCCCCCCCCCTACCTTAATATTTAGAGGATCACGGAGCTTGGACAATTGTTGGTGCCGGCCCACCGCCAAAGATGCTACGTTCCTGCTTGTCTGGTTCCTCGTGCCGCTTGAGTTCGCTCTTCGAGTGAGCGGATACAGGTCAAGCATCCACGGGGGCACACGAAAGACACCTGCGTGTTAATGTGGGGGAGTGCACGTGTTCTGAGTCTGCCCAACTGCGAACGAAGCGACCGGGAGTTGAGAGAGCCGGGGCTGACGAATTTGCCGTAACTGTGCATGCACAATGAAGAGAGGTCGTGTGGGCAACTGAACGGCACGTTACTTCGGGGTACCGCGGTGGTGAGATGTTATCTCCCTCACTGGGTGTGCAGGAGGTCATCTCCCACGCCTGGTATAGGAGGTCGTGGGGTTCGACCCTGCCGCATGTATATTTGGAGTATGTGGTGTCCCTTCTCCCCATGGTCGCGTGGAATTGTCTCCGGTTTTTTCCCTTCACATTTACAATCACCGTGCGTTTAGCGTTATTTGACGGATATGCATTTACACGATAAGCCACTTCGTTGAGTTTATCATTTGTAGCCAGGAGGACGCTTGTGAAAAAGAGCTATTTGGTACAGTGGACCTTACCTGGTCACCCCGTGGTGCCCTTATAAAACTCAACGTTTAACCTACTCACGCCGGCTTGTGCCCGCCCTCACAGTCGGGCATATTTACGGAACACACCACGTGGTGCCGCCGTTTACCCTGCTCATTGACCGAGCAACCCAACGTTCCTACCAGCTCCCTCCGCAGGAGAATGTGTTACTCTGTTAAAAGTGCCGGCTCAGCACTCAGAGCCATACAACCACCTCAAATAACATGAACATTTTGTCTTGGGGAAAAAAAATGACTTAAATATGCCCCTCGTCAAAGTCGAGTCCTGAAACTCACCGAGGCTCTCCCGGACAGAAAGTTTATTCCACACAGTAGTTGTGCTGCACAATAGTCTATAGTTGTCAACCCATACGGTTTACCCGTATTCTTGTACAGGGAAATTTATTTTTAGGTCCATGCGGCGTACAGCCGTTTCAATACGGGCAGGAAATACAGTTATGCCCCAAATAAAGAAAGTGTCTATCCACATGTCAGCAAGCATCAGCATTCAAGATCACAGACAGTAAGCATGATAAGTAGCATCATTGACACCAAATTATAAAAATACGTAAAACTTTTTTGGTTCGGCACATAATTTCTCTCTATTTAGTAATAGGTTTTTACCCTTTTATCTGGCACCAAAACTGACAACCTTTATGCAAGGGAGCATGTTTGCAATAACCACAACACAAGCGGTCAAAATGCAAACAAAGAGAAACAACTCTGATAATGATATGCACTGTCCTTGAAATTATTACGCCAAAAGGCGTACACCCCGTGCCCTTATAAATCTCAACGTTCATCCCACAAAGTCCCATCACAAGGGAGATACACAAACAAATCCTACAAAATCCCATCACAAGGGAGAAACACAAACAAATATAATGCTCTCTATTTGTTTGTGTTTCTCCCTTGTGATGGGACTTTGTAGGATGAACGTTGAGATTTATAAAGGGGCACGGGGTGACCATTAAGGTCTGAAATGGTATTTAAATCAGGTCGGTACTGATAAGGGGTTGACAGGTATGCAATACGTAACAACTGTATTCCCACATGATTATACCGCGCCTCTCCAAAGTTGAACGTTTGTAGCTTATTCATAATGGCCTATGTTACGAACTGCATACTTATTTTAAAAAAAAATCGCGTTACGGTCATGATGTGACTGTTTACAAACGCGGTTTCGCCAACACGGCTCGGCTTCCGTAGCCACACACCAGGAATGTGCCCGTTACCGAACGAGCAAAGCGTCTCAACAAGTATCTCGCCCGGATATCACGAACGTTGACATCGTTAATATATCGCTATGGACGCCGACCTCGCCTTCGCACTGCAGCTGCAAAATCAATTTGACTGCGAGGCGGCGGCAGAGGAGGAGGAACGCGCGGAGGGACGGGCGAAGTTGGCCGATGATGAGGTCGGGTGGGCTGGGCCGAAGCATCGGTCTCTCCTGGAAGCCCTGCCCGGTGACCTGGCCCCCCGGCCCGGCGATTCCGAGCGCCGGGCACGGCCTCTCTCCATCGTCGATTCTGCCTGGGAGTTGATCGACCCGAGTCCGAACGTGTGGGCTCTCTTCTCTCAGTACAACGAGGCGCTCTTCTGGGGAAAACTTCAGGGCGTCGAAGTGAAGTGGAGCAAGAGAATGACCCTGTGAGTTTGCGCTGGGCGTCATGGCTATGGTGTTATCGATTAGGTATTTCCGGACAAGTAATTGACATTAACTTGACATTGTTAATAGTTCCAGTAACGTATCACCCCTTGGAATTGAGAGATGGATCATCTGAGATGTACACCATCGTCTGTTATGATGGTGCTTACACGGTGGTGGGTGAAGTATTGTTATAAGGAGTGGTGGCGAGTGGTGGTGTGTAGGGTGGGTCGTGTTGTTTTGCTGTACGTGCAGATTTGAGGCCAACAAAATCGTCATCTGGTTGCGGATTCGCTCGTTGTGGTTTAAACCCGTCCGCCTGACGCTCTGAATCCCAAGGCTTCTGTGGGCGCCCTCTTTCAAGTCCCGTCAGTGATGCCTTGGAGGATGTTTTTTGATAGGATGCTGGATTATTGCATCCAAATAACTATATTTATTTCGCTCAGCGGTGGCTACGAGTTGTTTTTTTTCTGGCCTGGCTGGGTGGGGATTGTGCTCCATATACAAATTCGTTCCCTGCGTATAGAGCACAGTTACTGGGCTGTAGCCGCGCACTCCCAAGTCCGGTGCAAGCGATTGCGTTGCTGGCCGTTGGGTGTTTCAAGCATGTAAACTGGCTTGTGTGTATGTCACCCCCGTGGTGTAGCTGTGCAGGTGTGTGCTGCTATGAGGGCCGAGGCGGCCTTTGCTCCATCAAGCTCAGCGAGCCCCTGCTCAAACTTCGGCCCCGTAAGGACCTGGTTGAGGTGAGCAAATGCTGATGGCTCAAGGTTCCGACTGCCATCAATTAAGTTTAACCCGCAGTAGGCTTTCGAGAGCAATATTATTAAGGTTTTAATGGGTTAGATCGCCTAAGTATAAATGTGTCAACCCGCCACCACGCGATACAGCCAATTAATGTGTGTCACGTAACAAAACGTGCCAATTGGTAACTGCTTCAGCACAGCGGTGTGTTGGAGTCAACCCGCAACATTTGCAATTCCAGTACGACGTTTCGCTGATTACAACCAGCTTCATCAGGCGATTTGCCAAAATTGTGAAGGAGTCTTCCCATTTCGGTGTGAATTCATCGCGGTGAGATTGTCGCCCGAGGTAATCGAGAGTCCTAAACCCTGCCTATTGGCCATAAAATGATTGGTGTATTTTTACGCAGTCTTGACTACTCACCTGGAATGTGCCCGATCTCCACATATCTAGAACGACAAGCGAGGGTTGTTCCTGCATACTGCTTGGATGGGCGATCACCATTCATAAAACAGGTGTTATAGGCTGCTGCGGGCCTACATTTTCGGCAGAGGGGAGTGCGGCAAACCCCATTGTATTGTACTAAGCTTAAACATCTATGCTCTGCTGCCCACCTTCACCAACCCACTCTGACCAGGGTAGTGAAGTATGCTGGATGAGGTCCTCTCTTATGACTTGCACAGGGTGAGGCGACCCTCATGTAGCAGTGGATTGACAACAAAGGGCTGTACACAATGTACAACACATTTTGTTTCCCCCAATACTATTATCTACTAGGACACATAGCAATTATCACTTGAAGTTACTTTTAAAAGTAAAGCAGTAACTTACTGTTACAGCATTTATGAGTGAAGATTACGTAATAAAAGAGCAATTGTACCGTATCCCATATGGTCTTAACCCAGGGGTCGGCAACCAAAATAACAAGAGCCATTATCTTCCAATTCAGTAACAAATATATATTTTGAGAGCCACAATGCATGTGAGTACAAGGCGGTAATTAACATTAAACCACATTTTTTGTAATCGCTATTTTAAAAACAGTACACACAATGATTCGTAATGCTGGATGACAAATCAGTTTCGGGCTTTTAGAAGTTCACCGTTCATAAAAATTCGGAAGGGTTTTTTTTTGTTACTTTGTAATTATAGTGTCGGGAGCCTGAAGCAGTCCTTAAAAGAGCCGCAGTTTGCCACCGACCCCCTGGTCTAACCCGCGCTGTTGCCACTGCAGACGCTGCTGCACGAGATGATCCACGCACTGCTCTTTGTGACGCACAACAACCGCGATCGTGAAGGCCACGGCACCGAGTTCTGCAAACACATGCACCGCATCAACAAGGAGACGGGAACCAAAATCACGGTACACTCTCACCCAGGAGATTCTGCCTGCGCAAGCACCCGCTCACCAGCCATGGTTTTCCTTTGCTTGCTTTCCCCCCCCCCCCACAATTTCGGCGTCGGCATCGTATGTCACGAGCCGCCGAAGAAATTTCCATTGGAACTCTGCAGCTCGCGGTGCATCGTCACCCTGTGCCAGAGAACGACGGTCCAGACGCTGGGCAATGTTTCCTGCTTGGACAGGACACGTCGCTCATCGAAGTAGAATTCGTATGTTCGGTCCACCTCAAGTGTAAATTCCAAGCGTGCACCTCCGCTTTTTTTTTTGGCTTGTTTCAGAAAATGGAACAAAACGTTCTACTTTTGAGGATGTTCAGTAACTTCATCACTCTCATCTGCTCTGCTTACGGCAGATCTACCACAGTTTTCACGACGAGGTGGATGTCTACCGCCAGCACTGGTGGCGCTGCACGGGGCCGTGCCGCTTGCGCCCGCCGTACATGGGCTACGTGAAACGAGCCATGAACAGAGCGCCGTCACCGCGAGACTTCTGGTGGGACGAGCACCAGCGGACGTGCAACGGTTCCTACGTCAAGGTGCGGGAGCCGGAAGACAAGAAGAAGGCGGCGGCTGGCAAGAGCGGAGTTTCGGCCGAAGGAGAGCAGACGCAAGCGGGCGGAGTGAAGGGACGTGCCGACAATAAGTCGCCGGCCAAAGGTGAAGCAGATGCAGTCCTGCTTGTTTTTGTGCGCAGTTGAAGGGTATCCCGGTTTTATTAAAACACATGACAATCCATTTTTTTTAATGCAGTTACATTTTAATGCGAGAAATCCAAATTGTATTGCATAATTTAATTTATTTTATCGTATAATTTCCTTCACAGATGCCCGCACGTTGAACTTAATAATTCACTCACTCCATATTCTTGGTTTTATATTTTTATTATTTTATTGTTTACCTTCTACGTGACTATACCGAAAGAACCAAGAATATGAATCCCTGCAGTCACGAAAGCTTTAAATCAAAATTCACTCACTCCACTTAAGCCACATCATCTCAATAAAGCCATACTTTCTGGACAGTTACCTTTTGTGGCTAATAAAGTTTTGCTTTAGGATACCCCTCAATTACCTTTGCGCGAGTTAACTCTTGTACTCAAGTTTGTTTTAAAATGCATCTTATTTTTTCTCTTTCCACAGACAAGGACGGGACAGACATTCGTACGTTCATCCCGTTCTCAGGAAATGGTTTTCTCCTTGGTGGCGGCGGCGGTGGCGGCAGAAATAATGGGAGACCACATAGTGCTGTACAAGCCAGTTCCACAACCACGGTGGTAAAATCCCCCGTGTCGGGTAGAGAAACTATGACCTCGGCCTCCCAATCAGCAGTTTCTTCCTTCAAAGTGCCTTCTGTCTTTCCGACCGGCTCACAGCCTGCAATGGGAAGGTCGTCCCAGGGCAAAAACGGATACGATCGTGGTGGCTCTATGAGTAACATGGACAGCTGGCTTTTAAAGACCAAGGAAAGCGAGAGCAGAAGTACCCCCGACGCTCCAATTCTCAACAGGAAGTCTGTCAGCAATCCGAAAGCTTTTAGCAAAGGAGTGCCTCTGAAGGGAAAACCAAAGGGTGATCCCGAAGGTGTAAAAGTCTTGGCTGTATACAAAGGTCGAGAGAGTTTGAGAGACGGAAATAGAGCACCAACTGCTCAGAGTCCGAGTAAACTAAAGAGGCAACACGGAGGCAGTTTCCCATCTCCTCCTCGCATACAAGGCTCCAGAAACGGAAATAATGCATTAGCCAGTGATGCCAAGCGTGCAAAGACCGAGCAGCATACGTCCAGGACTCCCACGCTTACCGAAATGTTTCAAAAGAAACACGCAGGAGGCAGTGGCGGATCTGGGCGAGAGCCTTCAAGTCTGGGAACTCATAACTCCAAGATGCTGATGAAGAAAGCTGTCCCATCAGCCAAACCGGCTGAGAGGCAGGGAGAGTCCCCAGCTGCAGGGCTTCTGGTTGCATGCCCCATTTGTCAACAGCGCCTCCCAGAGTCGCAAATCAACAATCACCTTGATGTGTGCCTGCAGTAGGATCACCGGTGCGGCCAGCTTCCATCTACTCAGGACGAATATACTACCTCCCTTGAGAAATTGCACTTTAGATTACAAAAAATGCTTAGGTGCAAGGTGACAACGTGTAGTATTGACTCGGCATTTTATGATTCGTCCCTCTCACCCCCAGAATGTCAGTCGTCAAGAACCGGGGTCACGATTTAATGCAAGGATAGATTATTTTTCTCATTTTGGTGATTTCTCTCCTCTGTCTCATTCCACACATTGCACATGCCTGATGATTACAAAACAATAGCCCGTATGATGTACAGGATGCCGATTGAGACAGATTTCTTATGTGTATGTGAGTACCACGTGAGGTAGAGTACTGATTAAATTGAATTGGCCTGCATATGCCATGCTGAACATACGTACACATGTTATTGTGTGTCCCACATGAACCATACAGTCCCAATTCAAATTAATCAGTGCTGTCTACGCCATGTAGACGGAATTTTGCAAACATCGGGCATGTGCTGATTGTAACCACTTAAATTTATATTTGAACGAAGGATAATTGATAAACTTTGAAAGACATTCATGGTGAGTCACCCCCTGCTGTATTAAATCAAGCATGTTAAGCACATACAATTGTTTTGCAGTTAACATTAAAACACTGTTAATGTACATGTGTTATACACAGATTTTAAATTTGCAAACGTCTTGCTTAAAACAAACTGAAAGCCTTATCAATGTAGCCAGCCTCCTTTAAATGAGCATTGTGCAAAATGTGTGTCTTGTTAAATGTGTAAGATTACTACTTGTGTTGTCTGGTTTACGTTTAAAAATTACATGAATAAAATCTGCTTTTGACTTTAATATCGTGTCATTTGTTTGATTTATTTAAGATAATCTTATTTAAATCCCAGAACACCTTGAAAAAGAATGTCTCAATGGGTTTCTTAACTGGTTTGAAAGGGCATCTTTATAGCAAAAATCCGCTGTACCGAATTAAAATATCCATCTTACAGGCCAAAGTACACACTCAAGCATTTAACATGAATCAAAAACAGATTTTTTTTCTTTCAAGCTCTGTATCAGACGGACAATTTACATTTGCAACATTTAGCAAAAAACATCCCTTCCGAGCCCTCACCCCCCCCCCCCCCCCCCCTGAGGGGAAAAGAGTTCTGAAACCGTCAGCGAAGTGTTAACGACATAGCAGCATAGCATTATAAGATGTGCACACAAGTAACTGTTGGAGCGTGTCAATTTGTTTGCCCGTCAGTCACGATCAAAACAAAGAAGCAGGATGAGCGTACTTGAACAAAAAAGCTTCGACATGGCAGCATAAAAACCGCCGACGACGCGGTGACTTTCGATGCAACAGCTCGATTAATTGTCACCATTCAGGGTCACAATGTAACTTACAAATTACTTGTCCCTTTTAGTGCATGTGCAATCGAGAGTGGTTATGAGTCTAGAGTAATTAACTTATATTCTTAGCTCTTTCGGTAAAGTCACGTTGAAGGGAAGCAATAAAATAATAAAATATATAGTTGTATATATATTTTATTGTTTCCCTTCAACGTGACTTTACCGAAAGAGCTAAGAATATGAATTACTGCAGTCACGAAAGCTTTAAATCAGTAATTAACTTGTTACACTTGAACCGGTTTTATCACGGGTGGCTGAATCCCAGAATTAAAACCAGGATTCTCAGCGGGTTTCTCCGTTTCCTGAGCCACCCGGCCACCTCACCGGTGATTTAATCGGCGAATTTCCACATTTCTAATAATCACCATTAGACATCTCCGTGTTGCCCTTGGGCCAATCAATTGCTACTTGTGTCATGATATTTTCATTTCATAGACCAGAGGGTTACGACACAAGCATCTGTCAGATGGGCACAAGTTACTGCTCCCGTACTGAGTCGTTCCTACCCAGCCTAGAGAGGACTAATTCAGCTTCTTAGGCCGATGGAAATGTGCAAGGCACCCAGTGATATTAACTGCGCAACAATCCTCACCGTTATCGTTCACCCCAAAATAAAACCACCAGCAGCAGCACCAGAGTTCGTGTGAGATGGCCCCAGCGGCTCAAGAGGTGAGAGCACAAAGCCAGCTCGACTGCGGCCTACCACCACTAATCACCACCGATACCACCATCAGTCCCGCCACCACCGTCAACACAGCCACCACCTCCACAACCACCACTATGGCAAGCAAAATGCGCATGAACGCCCCTCAGTGCTCAACACTGTGCCAAGCAGAAGCTCTTCATTTGTGCGTATAGGGCTTTCTTTCTGCGAGACGATCATTGACAGTCTTCAGAGGCGTGGCTGCAATTGGCTGCGAGTAGGTTGTAAGGTCGCTGAAAGAAATGAAAAACAAATATACTGTACATAAACTTCGAAAGGTTATAAAACACGCCTTCCCGACGCCGGTTTACCGGCAACGTGTCATGAAATGAATCAATTTGGATTTTTTTTCAGAGCAGTTGCAACCCATGGGTTAGAGAATGGCTCTAAAATAGATTTTGCACAGGGCTTCTTCCAGAAAAAATTACTATAGCGGGCGCACTTTCCCACACGCTACCTGAGATCGGCATTTGATGGCCACAAGCTGATATTTGTCTTTATTCTAGGAGCTGCAATGTAGCCAAATGAAGCACAACATTGATTTTAACACAGGGTATTATTGTGTGCGAGCAGTCGTTAATGACTGGGGCTGAGAGCATCAACTCGCCACACTTGAGAAACCGATTTAATTACGGGCGACTGAAACCTGGACGCGGACCCATTGACCTGAGCAGTTCAAGCTCAGCGGCTCCAACCTCTGAGCCACTCGGTCACGATGCACAAACTAATTCTAAACAAGTACACAGATTAATCGAATGCTATTGAACACACTATTTGTTGTCCTTCCCCCGATTAGCACGGTTGGCTATGTACGGTGCAAAAGAAGTACAACATACATATTCGATCTAAGATACATTTACAAACCAGTCTGAATGAATCGCACACACACTTACCTATCGATTTGGCCACTCTTTCCATCTGCTCGGTAATATTGTACCGCACCCCTTCTTTCCTGAACATAAAAAAGCGACGTGAAAAAAATCTCACCACAACCACCGTAATCCACAGCTTCGGCATTTTTACCCTCAAACTGTTAGCAATGAAGAAACGTGTAACGCAATTGCCAAAAACAGGACGAAAAGCACGGGAATGGGTCACAATGTTGTAATTACTGGCGAAACGTCGTACTCAGATTGTATATATTGTAGCTTGGCTATTCAAAACACCGGTGTGCTGTACTAGTTATGAATTGGCATGTTCTGTTTACGTGACAACCCTTACTAGTTGGCTGTGTCGGGTGGTGGCGGGTTTAACGGCACATTTATATATTTACACGATCTAACATAAAAAAAGCCTCTATTATGGATGATATTGGTCACGAAGGCCTACGTGTTAAACTGCGCTAGGGAGGGTTTGTGCAGAATCGTTGCCGTGTGTGCGCTCACCCTCTCGTCCTGCTCAGAGCCTTCAGTCGAACCAGGGCCGACAGGATGTTCCTCTGCAAGTTGCTGGACAGAGCCTCGTACTCCAAGAGTTCACCTGTTGTCAACAGGACACGCAGACAGCAATAACAATTTCCATTTCACCGTTGTTTAAATGCTGTTAGAAAAAAACTATTTACGTGTATGTTGAACTTCATTCGCACCATACGTAGCCAACTATACATGGACAATCACTTTATTACACTGCTAGATAAGAGCCCCCTGCATGCTGTGCAGGTCATGGGGATTAATTGACCATGCTTCACCAAGCTGGTCAGTGCAGGTTGGTGAATGTGTGGGAAGCAAAGACGTGGGTGCTTTGACGTACGGAAACAATGGGTTTTACTGCGCCGTTCTTTACCGCCAACAATGTCGCCCCGAAACATATATAACACCTGGTATGCATGGTATTCACCCATCCAACGACTATCTAGGCTAAGGCCTTGCTTTGGTTCGGAGATCTGACAACACTCGGTGGATTCTGGGCAATTCGGTCATAGACAAATTCAGCATAATAATAAACACAATCTATTCCCGTAGGTGTCGTATCCGACCCGTGTACCCTAAAGTGTAAGAGTCGATTTGAAATGACATATCTCTAATTTATTACTAATTAGCATAGAGCGGCTGGCCCATATCATTCTCTCCGTCTTCGTAGTCCGGTGCCACAGCCGCCACTTGGGCCCCGTGACCTCCAGTACAGTCGTACCGCCTGCACACACGATAGCTACACCACTGGCGGGCGGCACCTGTGAGGATGAGCTGCATGGTGTGGTTCTGGAGGTCGGCGAGCAGCCGGCCCTCCGCGTGCGCGCTGCCGCTCTCCAGCGTCAGCAGGTACCGGCACACCACCTGTGCCGACCACGTGGCAACGGGGGCGACAGGGGTCAGGAGGTCATCGCATCGAAGCAGAGGAGGTGGCCGGGTCTTGACCCCCTTACCCCCCCCCCCCACTCTCCCACCTGGAGTCTATGGTACAAAAACGACTGCCTCTGGAGAAAGCCACCAGCGCTGGGAATGCTTAAGCGTAGCGTTATGATAAATTGCGTAATGTTTGATCAATGAAAAAAAACGAACATAGGAGGTAGCCAGGGTGGCTCATTGTTCATTGGACAGAGTGCAGAGTTGGCATGGCTGGGTTTGATGCTAAGGCTGGGTTCTCAACAACAACTTGAATTTCTATTTTGCACCCGCAGTGTGACAAGCCTCTCATAATCACAGTTATCCAGCCAAGGGGAACCCACCGGTAGCAGGCGTCACTGTGCAGCGCTTGGTGAACAACACAGCGCCGGTGGCGCAATGGGCATTATTCCGCAAGCGCGCGAGTTTTCACAATTAAGTAACTTTTTTTGTTAACGGGGCGATGCCTGGAGGGTGCCCGCAGCACCTCGACGCGTGAGCGAGCGCCGCCCACCTGGTATGCGACGTGGAATGGGCGGAAGGCGTCGCGCAGGAACCGCGCCACCCTGGCGCCCGCGTCCGTGTCGGCAAGCGCCAGGGAGCCGGCCGAGTCCACCAGCGCCGCACAGCGCAGCAGCAGCGCCACCCCCTCCTCCATGTCCTGCGCGTCGTCGGGGGAGGGAGGGGGGGGGGGGGCGGCAGCAGGGGGGGTGGCGGAGAGTTGGGGGGGGCGGGGGGGTGGAGGACGTTGGATTGGGGAAGAGGGGGGGGAGAGGATCTGTTGAGATTTCACTCACCAACCGCAGCCGCTTTGTCAATCCACTGCAGGATGAGGGCCCGCCCACGCTTCACCACGCTCGGGAGCACAGAAGTAGGGTAGAACGATGGCTTTTGCTGCACCGCTCTCCATGCTGCCCTCGACATAGCCCCGCAACCTGCAACACCTATTGTGCATGGCAATCGCCCATTTCAGCTGTGAACAAGGGCAAACCCCGGCGTGGCTTCGGAAATTGGCCCTCAATCACAATAACAACAATAAACATGCACGTCCCGTTTGTCAATGCACCGCGGGATGAGGGCCTCCCCACGCTGTGCGGGTCGTGGGGATCGTCTCCTGCCCCGCTGGGGTGCGCTGCACACGGAGGGTTCGGTGGTACTCATTTTATCGACCCCGGAGGGATGATGGGATTTGAACTCCGTCGCACCTCCGATTAGCACGGTTGGTTAAGTACGGCGCGAAAGAAGTTCAACATGCATACAACTCGTAACCTTCCAATTGCGAGCTCCTCGCTCAACATCCGGCCGGATAGAATCGGGAGAAAAATGTCAAAGAATTATTGTGATATTAAAAAAAAAAAACCCCCTCCAATACAAAATATAAAAAGCAACTCTACGGTTGAAAAAAACCACGAGGTCGTCGCGCCTTTCCTGCCGGGTACCTTGATCTCGTTGTTCGGCACGAAGATGAAGTCGTCCTCAAACAGCTTCACCAAGAAGCAGAAATGGGAGTAGACGATGTCTGTGAGGAACGCGCGCGCACGCCACCGCCTGCTCAGTCACTGCGTCGACAACCGTTGAAACTTCCTCTTGCTGCACCCAGTTGTGACCGTAAACTAAAGCGATGTTATTTGACCAGGTTAAGCCCACTGAGCGACCTAGCCGCACGTGATGAAAGCTCATCATCGAAGTGAAACTATGAAACAATACAAAATAGATATATTTTACCGCATAAGGCCCACTGAGCTATGTGGCTGTTTTTCAGAAGCGGCCTGGCCCGCAAATGATAACCCAACTTAGTGGCTTATCACGTAGAAATGTATGGCAGCCAAATACTCTTAAACGCATGTTGGTTCTAAATGAGGGCAAAACCGGAGAGAACACGCAAACTCCAAATATACAGGCATCAGGGTCGGGATCGAACCCACGACCTCCTGTAAACCAAGTGAGGTAGTGAACGCTTCGCCACCGCGGCGTGCCTGATATCATCGCCCCCTGAAGCGGCTGATGTCATCGCCACATGTGGAAGTTTATAGCAGCAGCCCAATTATTTAAACGCATGTTGACTCTAAATGTGGAGGAGGAACCCGGAGAACAATCCATGCGACCACCACGGGGAGAGAGAGAGAGAGCACGTGGACTCCAAATATACAATAGGCATCGCCAGGGTCCAGGATTGAACCCAGGAACGCATGCGAAGCAGGCACGGTGCGGCACCCATTCCAGGTAAGAGTGTATCGATGCATCGATTAATACCGATTTCTTAAGCTTACGATGTACGTATCAAGATGTGTTTGTAAGAATTCATGTTTTTTAATTGTAATTCTTCTGTGGTTGGAAAACAGTGGTGCAACGACTAGCACATTGTGCTATGAACCCAGCCAGCTGAGTCTGAATTATGGCCATGGGCAACACAAGTTGCTAACACATCTGGAATAGCACAAATGAGCATTGAGGTTGCGGTCATCTCCTATTTGCAGGCTTGAGCCTGTGGTGGAAATTCCACATTCCTATGGTGGGGGGGGGGGGGGGCGACTCCATAGCTACCCGTAGGACAACCACTGTTGTTGAGAAGTCAACCACTGTTGACTGCCTGACAAAAAGTGGTACTCGTTTTATCGACCCCCAGAGGCATATGGGATTTGAACTCACAACCTTCCAATTGCGAGCTGCTTGCTCAACCGCTGAGTCACCCGGCCGGATAAAATTTTGGAGAAAAAAATGGCAAAAAATGATCGTGATAAATAAAAAAAACACAATACAAATATTAAAAAAGCAACTCTACAACAAAAAGAGGAGGCCGTCGTACCTTTTCTCCCGCCGGGTGCCGCGTGGCAGGCCATGACAACGAAGGCCGGGCGCACGAGCAGGTGGAGCACGTGGTTGCGGTAGGCGGAGCACATGAGTGCCACGCATGCGCGCGCCAGCGCCGCGTCACCGTCACGGGGCGGCGCCTGGCACGGCCACGCCATCCGCACGACCTCCGACCCTGCACGGGCGTCGTCGTCACCGTCGTCGCCGCGACGCAGCGTGCTCGCGATGTTCCCGTGCAGCTTCACGCTATCCCGCACCACCGCCTCCAGCGGCTGTCCCTCTGCAAGAAGACGGCAAACAACCTCCTCCGTGACCCGCGTGGCTTTGGTCATTGGGGCGTTCGTTCAGTTTGGGGACTGATTTGATCGCGCGTGTGTATGTTTGTGTGTATGTTTGTGTGTATGTTTGTGTGTATGTTTGTGTGTATGTTTGTGTATGTTTGTGTGTGTTTGTGTGTGTTTGTGTGTATGTTTGTGTGTATGTGTGTATGTTTGTGTGTATGTTTGTGTGTATGTATGTTTGTGTGCGTGTATGTTTGTGTGTATGTTTGTGTGTATGTTTGTGTGTATGTTTGTGTGTATGTTTGTGTGCATGTTTGTGTGTATGGTTGTGTGTATGTTTGTGTGTATGTTTGTGTGTATGTTTGTGTGTATGTTTGTGTGTATGTTTGTGTGCATGTTTGTGTGCATGTTTGTGTGCACGTGTGCACATTGTGGGGAGCGGCAGTGCTATGGTTAAGCGCGCTGCACGACGAATCCGGCGACCCGAATTCAATTCCCGCTCACGGCCAACGCCAGTGACGATTATCAGAATCGGTTCTGGCCCTCTCCTAAGTCGACTCAGCCTCAAATGAGTACCTGGTGCGGTGTGTAAACATCCATGCTCAATCCAATGCTGCTAGACCAAGGCCTCCCCAATCTGTCTCCACCTCTCACAGGCCTGCGAAGTAACCAAAATTCCATAGAGAGTCTGCACACGAGCCGATATGAGACGACATATCACTGAACATCGACTTTGGAGTGCAGTGCAATACAATCATGGAGATAAAATGACAAAAGTGTCCTTTATTTATCCGCAAAAAGCCTCGCTGAGCCTCTCAGGACAATTTTTCAGGAGGGTCCTGCAATGGGATGTTTTGTCAGTTCCGTAAATGTTTGCGACTTCGTGTGGGAGGAGAGTTGAGTTCCTGGATGAAACCCACACATGAAGAGAACACCTATCGAAACACCGAAACAATGGATTCAATCCACTGCTGTACTCCCATTCTCCTGGCCACCTTTTGCATTGCAAGCCTATAATACCTGAAATTATGAGGAGAGTCTCCCAACAGGCTCAAGCCTGCTCGGCTTCCGAGCTTTGACAGGATCGGGTGGGTTCAGCGTTGACTTAATCGCGATATCTTACAAAAACTGTGCGTCGACAAGGTGAGTAAACGTCAACCCAAGAGCAGCTACAATGACTACGACACGAAGTGGAGTGCAAGGGACCAATGCTCAATAGCCATCCATGCTTACCTGGCCAGTGCAAAAAGGCACCAAACTTCTCGATGAGGCACCGGAGCCACTGGACCTCAGCCAAGAGTAGAGAGAACTCCATTTCACCTGTGGCTCACACACACACACACATCCATATATACACACATGTGTAGTGTCAGCGATTCAGAGACGAGGTTTTTTAGGAGGCACCTTCTTTATTAACACCTTCACACGTTCACCGGTTCGCCCTCGCGCTCTCCCTAGTCGTCTAGCCCAGCCTAAACACAACCCTGACCCTGTAACGCCGATGGCGCCGACCGAGACGGCCAACAACTACCCGGCCGAGCAGTATCTAGCGAAGACGGCGGCGACGAAGGCGGCGAAGACGACGAGACGAGTTCACTCCCCAGAACCGGCAGCCACGAGCTCCCGCTCTCAGCTGATTTGATGCTACCCGGCGCGGCCTGGCCGCGCCTCCCTTCTCGAACCCACAAGCGGGTTCCAGGCGCTTCCAGTTCCTCCGCCCTGCCGACACACGCACCGCGTACACACTCACTGGCGTGTGTACTCCCCGTCCACCGCAGTTGCCGCTGCTGGACAGCAGCCGGCGCTATTACACTACACGTGTGTTTATACTGTCCCCCCGCCCCCCCCGTATCGCTGATGCTGGCTGTTAGGATCCCCTGCATTGAACTCTGGTGTGAACAGGACCATGCCAGGCCGCCTTTGTCTCCCCAATGGCGATGTTTATGCATCGCACCAGGTAACTCACTTAAGGCTAAGTCGAGCTAGGGGAGGCCCAGGACCGGTTTGGATAATCGTCACTTATGTTGGCCGTGAGCGGGGATGTAGCTCGGGTTGTCGGGTTAGTAGCGCAGTGTGCTAAGCATGGTGCCACCGCTCCCCACACACACACACACACACGTACACACCCACGCACGTATACAAACGTTGCACAAAAGCCGAAAGCTCGGTGGTTAAGCCAGGCACATTTGCATACAAGAGAACACACGCTCTAATCGTTAATATGTACCTGTACGTGTATTGCTCATGGTCTCAATCCAGTCGACCCACTGTAGTTTGGCAATCACTCTCAAACGTGTGCTCCAATAGAGTGAGAATAAATTATGATGGCGTGGGTATGGAATATCAGCGGCATGCTTTGGGCACGTTTTCCAAGAGATTAAATTACTCCTTTGGGAACAACGATGGGAGCTCTCCACTCTGCTCCTTTTGCAAAGGAGACCTGGGTATAAAATATACAAGCAGGGGGCTGGGGAGGAAAGCAGAGGCATGGGGTGGGGGGTAGTGCAGTGCAGGGACTGCTAAACGGTGACGGACTGGGACAAAAAAATCGACCCAGGCATTTGTAAACATAGTGGGCCCAAACTGTCGTGCAATCTCATTGGCTCATTTGGGCTGGCCAAAAAAACAAATGGGCCGGTGATGGAATGAAGCCTACATATTAGTGGTAATTAAATATTTAAGTACATAATAAAAAATATCTATGATTTTTTTTAATGTATATTTTATATATATTTACTATCATTAAATATAAATTTATATTAGATTTTTTACTTTTACTCATTTGCAATTTCCTCAGAGTCCAGCCCACTGGCCCTTGGAAGTGACCGGCCCACCGGGCATTATCCCGGACTGCCCAATGGTCAGTCCGAGCCCTGTCGCTAAAGGCTTCAGAAGCAGTGGGTCACAGACTCGGTTCTCTTCGCTCGCTCAAACCACCCTGACGCCCGAAGACACCGCTCCTCGCCCAGGCTCGCTCACCGTGATGCTGCATAAGGACGCTGGCGATGAGGGCCCAGGGGCTGGCCACCATGCCGTGCTGCTGTGTGCGCACCATATGGTGAGCAATGTCGCGCGCAAACACCAGCGTGCTCTCCGGCGGACGTAGGGACAAGTGTCTGCCGGTATGGTGGGGGGGGGGGGGGAGAGGAGGGGGAGAACGAGTGTGGTTAAGTATGGTCAAACTCCAAAAGGAAAACCCCCTCTAACCAAGAGGCACTAGGTGGCCTTCATCCAGCAGTAGATTAACAGAGAGCACCGTACAGTAAGTAGTACGTTGCATTACTCCTTGACACAGCACATATGCCGGTTGCTTTTCGAACGCCACGCCAGAGACGACGACAGCTCGTATCACACTCGCGAGATGGGTTTTTTATTCGCAGGTGCGAGGGGAGCGTGAGGTGGGGCGGGGGGGGGGGGGAGATCGAGGCCCACCTGGGCGTCAAGTTGTAGCTCTTGGAGTCGACGCGGCCATTGGCCAGGGCCTTGAGTGAAACGGGAGTGTGGAAGTAGAGGTGGACGCTGCCATAGTCCTCGCTGAGCACCGAGCGGGCCTTCAGCAAACCCTGCTCATGGAGATAGAGGGAGAGAGAGAGAGAGAAGACGGCAGAGATTCGCCGAATTAAACTGTGGATCTAAATCAGTGAGGTTGTATCGAATCGCAAGGGGGAGAGAAGGGCCGGCAATCGACATATTCAAATGTACAGGAGCGATTGAACAATGACATTACAAAAATGCCATAATGATGTGCTTAACCATAACTATGAAGTATATGTTTTTAAACAGTAATGATGGGGAGGCCACCACACTTGACTCGGTAAGTAGCTACAAGGCAAGGTAGAGTTACGGCGCGGAAATTATTCACTCAAGCCACTGCTGATGGAAAGGCCTCAACTACAGAGCCCCACCCCCCTAGAGGATGATTAGCCTCATCTTCCACGCTGACCAGAGGCCCTGGAAGAGGAGCCGATACCCACACTCTACCCCATTGCACGCGACCTGGCGGCCATAGACTGGAGGAGGGGCATTTAAGAAACTTCCGAAGTTGTTTCAACTCCCGCGCCGGGAGATGGAATCGAACCGGCGAACCTCTGTAACAGCAAGCCCAGCACCGCTCACCGTTACTCTGCTGCGGCAGCAACCCTTAAAAAGCGACAACTTGCCGTCTATTGACTCGCGCTAATTGGGTGGCTGATGCCGCAAGGGTTCTTTGTGAAAAACACTTCAGCATCTGCAACAGTTCCGCTGAGCGATCCCCACGGCCTGGCGCACTGGGTTGGGGCGAAACTCTTCTTCTTCTTCTTCTTTCGTATGGATTAATAAAAGCAGATTAAAGATGTAATTTTAGACGTGTTATCCACTCCATCGTTTGTTCACAAGCAGAGTGGATCTCGTCCATTCCTCCTTTAAAGGAGCGAAGGAACCACCTCCCGACAAGACGAGAGACGTTTAAATTCCCGGGTGGCGTCCACCCGTCAATAGAGGAAAAACCTCCGCCTTGAAGCGGCGAGGTGACGCGAATGCCGTGGCCCTTACCGACGTGGACTCCTTGGGCTTGGGAACCCCGAGGAGCTCGCGCGCGTAAAGGGCCTCCTCCAGCAGCCGGTCGTAGCTGATGCTCACGGCCACGGCGTACGTGTCGTACACCTCTCCGCGCAGCATGGGCTCCAGCGCCATGTTCAGCAGGCCTGTCTCACCGCCACCGCAGTTACCGCCGTTACCGCCACTGCCGCCAAAGTTATTACCGCTGTTACCAACGTTACCACCACTACCGCCACCACCGCGACCACCGTTACCACCATTAGCACCACCGCCACCGCCACCTCCACCACCGCTGCCAACACGACTGCCACCACCGTCACCACAAGGTGAAATCAATCAATCTGTTATTTATATGGTACACTTCACGTAATTAAAGTGCAACTTAAGAGTGCTTTACATAAAATAATATTCAACACTTAGGCTGCACAAGCGACGAGAAATTTCGTTTAAAATATCAACAGAGCAACGTTACTCCGGGGAAATGTAATTTAAACAAATCATAAAAGCTTAGGTTACAGTAAAATATCATCTCTCTCTCTCTCGTCCCATCTGTGCACAAAAGCAAGGATCTCACCCAGCTTGGGCGGGAGAGACTTGTTTGTGCGACTGCGAGTTCCTTCCAGAAAGAACTCTACAGGGGCATCTCCGTTCTGCACACAGAACACCACACGGCAGGCAGAGTCGACACGCCGTGCAGGATTATAGCCGAGTCGGCATGTCATGCTCGCGTTGAGTCTCGAGGCAAGTGTTTTTTTTTTTCCGTAAGCGTGTTTTATCGTCTTTCGGGAACCCAGAATACAGTTGGGAATATCAAAAGGAGGAACAACATGCAAGGTAAAACAGGCTGGGCGTAATGCACCCTCAAATATTGGGGAATTAACGAGGGAAACCGGGCTCGCCACCCTGTCGTGGTAGGGGCAATGATCAAGAGCAGTGTATTTAAGGGGGAGGGAGAAAATGTGGAAAATGGGAGGAACAGTGTAACCGAACAGAACCCAAAATAAACCAACATAAACGCCATGTCCAAGTTTGTCAGTTGCGCTATTTGCCCAGGAGCAATGGTCATCCCATGCGTTAGGGAGGGTGGTGTAGTAGTGTCCAGATTCCATCCCAAAGTATTTGACTCTCAAGAATTTGCTGTTATGCTGGGAATAAAAAAAATTGCCGATGGAAGCGAATATCACAGAGCCACGTCCGAGATCCGGTTCCTCCACCTGCTCTGCATATGAGAGTCTGGGACTGCAGAAGAGGATCACATGGCAGGAATTTGACAATTCGTCGATTTTTTTCCATACAAATTTATTCCTAGGTTCACAACGCGCGTGCGCACGTGAAATTGCGTGCGTGAAATTCCACAGACGTGGGCATCTCTAGCGAAAAACAAAATGGGATGTAGGGAATAAACGACGAGTGACGGGAGGCGAGACACGGGCCCACGGTAGCCCAGGAGGGGCCTGCATTACTATCCCACCCCCTAGTGGACATCCGTGAAAAAGAGCTTCATTTGGCTCATTGTATTTCTCCAGGATAAATAAAGATTCCGATTGTGATAGTATCGTGGTCTCACCCGCAGCACGGCTTGCACGTACTCGCTAAACACAAGCCAGTACAGTGCATTGTTGCCAAACGAGCGACGCATGAAGAAGGCGCCGGCCATTCGCAGCATCTCGCCCACGATCTTCATCCCTTGAAAGTCTGTGGAGGTGATGGGGGGGGGGGGGAGGGTGGGCGAGAGTGGGTGGAGTACGGATGGATCGTTGCATCGTAAGACTGAGAGATGGTGACGGCTCGGCACAAGCCTCATCCAATAATGGATTGATCGTGGCTCACGATGGCCTTAAAAAAAAAATCTTGATTTAAGATATCCCTTCTCTTGCACACATGGTTTGCGAACACCGCGCGGTTTGGTGTTATATTTCTGATATGGACTTAATGGACTCGGTGTGACTTGGTGCTCTAGCGATGATGATGTGCATTACCTGCTAGTGGTACTTGAATGGTGCATTACTTCAATGTTATTTTCCTCGAATGTCTTTGCTACTCAGTGTCTGCAATGTTATTAATTATACGCTGCTGCAACTTTGTTATTCTTGGTTCTTTCGGTAAAGTCATGTAGAAGGGAAATGATAAAATAAAAAAATAGAATAAAATTCTCACGACGTTTCGGCCACAATGCAAGCAGCCGTCCTCAGGTGAAGGCACAGAGATGTCGGAAAGATAGAGTCCTAATGAACACTGCTAAGCTTGGCAGCGTATTTTAAGCTGGGTGGGAGGAGGAGAGCGCCTTGACAAAGGATTTTACAAATCAACAGAATAATTTAGCATATTGATGACAAATGCAGATATGGGATTAGTCACTCCTTGTGGAATGTGTAGGCGGTGGGGGGTCTCAAAGTCATATTATGCTAGTGTATTATGTAGGATTAGCAGTAATAAAGGGAGAAAAATTTTAATAATAAAGAACTGCATATCAAGCTAGTGCATTATGTGGAGAACAAAAAAGAAGTTTCTAAAGAACTGCAAATACCCTACTACCATACAATAAACCAATGTGAAAAAACTAAAATAGAAACTACATCAATATAATCAATAATCTCAATATACTCTCTAATAAGCTGAGTTACTAACAATAAGTCATTATACATTACACGGACGAGTCCATCTATGCTCGGAACGGAGGAGGGGGGAGATAATTTTATTTTATTATGTTTTATTTGTATTATTTTATTATTTCCCTTCTACGTGACTTTACCGAAAGAACCAAGAATATGAATCCCTGCAGTCACGAAAGCTTTAAATCGAAAAATGCTGCAACTTTCCTTCTTGTCCATTTACTTCTTACACAAATTCCTCTCTCAGGTCTATTCTTGCAAACCAGCTTATGGCCGGAATATTTCTTCCCAAGTGAAGTCCACTCATAAAATAAAATGAAATCAAATCAATTCAATCCGTAAATGCAACGTTGCACACCGTGCTTCGTGTGTGCCGTACCCATGCCGGCGGCGATCACCGGCAGTGGCAGATCGTAGGTGTAGAAGATGTAGGACATCATGAGGAAGTCGATGTAGCTGCGGTGGCTTGGCAGCAGCACGATTGGGTACTCCTGCACAGCCTTCTGTATCTGCGCACACGGGCAGTGCCAAAGTCAACCCTTTCAACGTCAGCCTAACAACAAACCACACAGAGTCTCCTTTTGATGGTGTTCATAGTTTTAGACTAACCAGGTGACCAAATAGCCCAGGAAGTGCCCGACCGTGTCAGGTCTTGGACGCTAAGCAGGGTGGAGTGGATAGCTCGTGGATTAGACCACGTGTGCCAGAGGGGACGACACCCAAGGAGATGGAGCGATGAAATCACTTTGTGTGGGGTTTCTCAGTGGATTTCCTCATCGTAGGACCTTAAGGGATGGCAATGGCTTTGGGAGGCCTTCATCCAACCATTAAACAATAATGGCTGATGATGATGTGACTCACACAAGCATGTGCATTGCGATGAAGGTACGTGCGTTTTTTTTGTGACCACTCGTAAGAGGGGGCGCCACGGTGGCGAGATGTTAACTACCTCGCCTGGTATACAGGGGCTCGTGGGTTCAATCCCGACCCTGACAACGCCAAATATTTAGAGTTTGCATGTTCTCCCCGTGGTCGTGTGAATTTTTCTCCGGGTCTTCCAGGTGTTCCCTCCCCATTATGCACCAATATGCGTTTATAGTATTTGGCTGCTGTAAATTTTCACGTGATAAGCCACTTCGTTGAGCTATCATCTGTGGCCAGGTCGCCCCTGCAAAAGAGCCATGTAGCTCAGTGGGCTTTATCTCGTCAAATAAAAATAGTCTATCGTTTTATGATAGTTATATGAGTGTGGTCGTCCGGGATAGGCCATGTGTTGAACATTTCTTATCCCAATCCTTCGCCGAGTACTGCCAACTGCGGGCATCTTCCAAAACAATTGAAGAGAAGATGAACGCAGTAGCGCATGGCAAAAGTTTCAGAGAACAAATGCTCAACACGTGGGGCCCCCTAAGCTGGAAGATTCCACGTAAATTGCAACCAGATCCGTTTTAGCCGGACGTGGGCGGTGAGCCACCAGTCAAGTTTTGAAGAACCCCACACCGGAGCACGGCGAGGTGGGGATTGGGGGAGGGTGGGAGGTGCGATGGCGTCAGCTGGGCCGGTCGGTACCCGTTGCAGCCCTTCCTCGTTAAGCCGCACGCTGCGAAACAGCGCCTTGAAGGTCTTGCTGAGGGTGAGCGCGAACGTGCGGATGATGCACATGCGCTGGTTGTGTCCCATCTCCTCCAGGATGTCGCTCGCTCGCTCCGTGATCACCTCCACGGGCTCCCCGCTCTCGTGAGCCTCCTGCCTCGCAGCGCATGCATTCGTGTGAAATGTAATTTTTTTGTTTACATTTCATCTTTTTGCCCCAAAATTACGTCACGAGACAAAGAATCAATCTGGATCGCTCACGGCGAAGTATAACCCTTCGTGTTAGAGAACAGCCCATGGAAGTGGATATCGCAGAGCTATGAGATCCCTTCAAGTGCTCCACACAATCGAGGGCAATACCGACCACCCGTTCTGCATTCCAGAGTAATGCAGGTATTTCATTTTTAAGAGCGGGAATTTTAGATAAAATTGAGTGCAAAACCAAATTTCACTTTGTGCAGTTACTGGTGACTGTGCTAAGACTGCAGCCACCTGTGATGTAAGCCTAGCTCAATCACAGGTGGCTGCTTGGATTCGAACCCTGGTTCTCTGCGGTGGCAGCTCAGCGTGCTCTGGACTCTGTTGCTTTGAAAATTCATATTCCAACGACGGGGATCTTAGCTGTCCATTCAATTACCAATTCACTTCCCCGATTTCGCTTCCCTTGCCGAGTCAATCGCTCGCTCTACCCATCGCCGCCTTGCCCTCTTCTGTGCCCGTCCCCTGCAGCCGCCCAACAGTGCCCTGCCGCGGGCTTGCTCCGCACCTGCCGTATGAAGTCCTGCAGGCGCTCCGAGTGGAGCACAGCGCTCTTGAGCGCGGCGGGCGAGCGCGGCGAGTGGTAGCGGTACGACGGGGGGGCGTAGCGGCGCAGCGAGAAGCGCACGTCGCTGGACGCCCGCCGCTCCTCCAGGACGTCCTCCATGTCGTCGCGTTTGTCCGCTCGCAGCATCATCCTGCCGGGTGCGACCTGGGTGGCAGAGGCACGGCAAAGGCGCGGCGCACCGCATCACACAGCGTGACACACTACATAACACTGTGCACACAGCCGTACCCCGTTGCACCCTGCTGCACGACGCTGCACACCGCTGCATTAATTGCACCCCGCTGCACTATGATGTACCCCACCGCGCCCCGCTGCACAGCGATGCACCCAACTGCACGACGCGGCACACCGATGCACAACGCTGCATACAGCTGGCCCCCTTCTGCACACCGCGGCGCAACAAGGCGCAACATGGCACAGGGCAGATGAGAGTAAACGCTTTTTTTCTACCGCGATGCAATCCAGAGGTGGCCGGTTTGATGCGATCGCACGGCGCGGAAATTGAAACAGTGGTGTGAGTTTTTCAATTGCCCCCCGACTCCGTCCACCCAGCAGCTCTTGTGTAGTTGGGTAAAGCGTGGGTACTCTCGCCTCTTTTCCAAGATGCCTGGAAAGAGTGCGAGAGTCGGCCAAAATACGCACGAAGCCCTACCACGAGCAGCATTGAGCAAGCAACTACAGGGCTGGGGCTTTACCTTTTTACCGCGATGCTCCTGGCAAATGAAACGACAATGTACGCACGAAAAGCACTTTTGTTAATCCACTGCTGGATGAGAGCTTCCCCACGCCCCGTGCGGGTCCTGGGGGGATCGTTTGACGACACTTTACCACAGTGGTCAATGCGAGATGGTGAAGGTGTGGATGAAAGATGCGGGGGGTATAGAATGCACTATACAGCGCAACAGTGGATTTAGCCTTACTGCCCACACCATAGCACTACTGTACATACAGTACTGTATCTTTTCAAGTGGCCTTTTAAATATATATGTACAAGTACATCGATCAAATTGCCAATACTGTTTACTCTGTTAAATTTCAACAAATGGTGTTCATCTCCCATGTATTTTTACCTGCATCACATACAGACCCTGTAGATTATATTGTAATGATAAACCTACCACAATGTTCTTTGATACTTCAGCAATATTTGCACACACCGAGCAAACAAAACGAATGTTTTAACTTTCTGCCAAGGCTCCACGTAAATTATCACAGGGTCCACAAAGTTCAATGTGATCAGCATGACATGTATACGCAATCTCGAAATTCCATCATCATGCAAGTGCAGCCAATGTCAATTATCTAATTCCCTTACTTTATTCAAGCATACTCTTTGGTTATATTCGGTAAAGTCACGTAGGTTAAAAAATAAAACAAAAATCACGACGTTTCGGCCACAACACAAGCGGCCTTCATCAGGTTAAGGGACCAGACTGGAGCGCTGTCCTCGAGACAGTCTGGTCCCTTCACCTGATGAAGGCCGCTTGTGTTGTGGCCGAAACGTCGTGATTTTTGTTGTTTTATTTTTTACCTACGTGCCTTTACCGAATAGAACCAAAGAGTATGGATCCTTGCAGTCACGAAAGCTTCAAATCTAGAATTTATTCAAGCATCTGTTGTAGGTGTGCAATGTATGGCACGATCGAGGGCAAGCAGTTGCAATTTCACGGGGTCAAATCAATGTAATAGCGGAACAATTTCAAGATCTCATTCACGGTCTTCAATATCCTCCATGAACTTGTCCTCTCTCATCTCATTCTACTCCCCTCCACGCACACTCCTACCTCTCCCCTCTCATCTCATCCTACTCCCAGCCACAGTACCCAGAGTGACCCCAGCATGCATACGAGGGGATAACACTCAAACGCTTGCACAGGCAGGTTCGCAAACCCACTTGCTGTGCCGCCATCTCCTTGGCCAGCTTGCAGCCCAGAACATGTGGAAATCTCACACATCTGGACGTGACGCACCAACCCATACGTCCAAAGTGCTGGATTGCAGGCGAGCGCCACCATCATCACACCAAGGCTCAACGTCAGCAAAGCCAGTGATCTGCCTTTATCCAGAAGACAAAGTTCATTCTGCTGTCAGCAAAGCGATACCAACCGCTATCTTTTACCAATGACTGGCGCATGGCCAGTCATTGCTGGTATGCCGGTTAACAGTCCTTCACGGTGCAAACATAGCTCTTAATGTAAAAAAAAGAGCTTCTTAATAGAATTGGCCAAACATCCCAATGCAGAACAATCCTGAGAACAAGTACTCATTGAATGGGTAAATAACGTACCGTATAAATATTCTTGGTTCTTTCGGTAAAGTCACGTTGAAGGGAAACAATAAAATAATAAATATATATGAATCACTGCAGTCACGAAAGCTTTAAATCAAAAATGTACCGTATAAAGTCATTGTTTTCAATAAGCCGAGCGGTGGCGCTGTGATTTGTGGACTCAGCTTTGAACTTGGCGATCTGAGTTAGATTCCCAGCCACAGCAGAATCTTTATTTATCCTGGAGAAATCCGATGAGCTATGAAGCTCTTTTTCACAGATATTCATTATTATTATTAATACTGGAATACCACCTTTGTTGTTAAATATAGCCAAGTGCAGCTTACAATATTCAATGTTTAATTTAAACGTATATTTTCAGCTTGTTGTTGATACAATGCTGGATGATGGTCTCCCCATTCTCTTACTGTAATGGGGGTTGTTTGGCCAAACTTCACTGCAGGTCGGAAAAGGGGGGGCACCCAGGAAGGTTCAGACATCACTCACCACTGAGGTGAGCCATGGCCTGGGAATCAAACTCGGCTCACTGGTTCGAAAGGTACTCTGTGTAATCACGAAATACAGACGAGCACTGCAGAACATTTATGTCCAGTTCACGAACCAGTGGCCAAACAAACCATGATGAACCCCATCTCAAAAGCGAAGCGGGATTGAGTATTTGCATGAACGACTAACCACCCTGCATAGCAGGTGCTGTAGTTTTGCTGCTTGACGAGGGGATGGGGCAGCAGAGGGCTATGTCGCAAACCAGCTATACCAAACCAGTTTCAATACTCCCACATCTCTCCCTGCCTTCACCACTCCGTACTGACCAGCTCGGTGAAGTTTGCTGAAGGTTATTCGCCTCGCTTGGTCAAATAACCGCCACGACCACCGCACGGCGTGGTGTGGGCGGCCCTCAGCTATTGACAGCAAGCACGGCTGGCTACGTACGGTGCGAAAGAAGTTCAACAACCGTGGAGACTGAATGCAGGCGTCTTTTATTCTGTGGATGTGTGTGTGTCTCCGTGTGTCTTTGTCTCCCGTGTTTGCGTGCGAGAGGATTCGTTTATGTGTGTGTGTCTCTTGTGTCCGTGCTGCTCTGTAATACCATCACCTCGTGAGCTGTACTCTCACACCAACACACAAAGGTTAAGCTCCTCTGATACAAACTTTTTAAGTGAACATGAAACTAAAAATAAACCAAAAACTATTTTTATTTTAGCAGGTAAGGCCCACTTGAGTTATGAAACTAAAAATAAACTAAAAACTATTTTTATTTTACCAGGTAAGGCCCACTGAGCTATGAAACAAAAAATAAACTAAAAACTATTTTTTATTTTACCAGGTAAGGCCCACTGAGCTATGAAAAAAAATTAACTAAAATCTTTTTTTTTATTTTACCAGGTAAGGCCCACTGAGCTATGAAACTAAAAATAAACTAAAAACAATTTTTATTTGACCAGGTAAGGCCCACTGAGCTCTATGTAGAGTGGCTCTTTTTCAGACGCGACCTGGCCACAAATGATAGCTCAAGTAGCTTATTACGTGGGCATGCTTTGCAGCCAAATACTCTACAGGCATGCTGTTTCTAAATACTCTACAGGCATGCTGTTTCTAAATACTCTACAGGCATGCTGTTTCTAAATGTGGAGGGAAAAACTGGATGGACCCGGAGAAAAAGCCACACGACAAACTGGGGGAACACGCAAACTCCAAATATACAGCACGCGTCAGGGCCGGGATCGAACCCACGACCTCCCGTATACCAGGCGAGGTAGTTAACATCTCTGCACTGTGGCACCCATGACTTCCACGATGTGTAAGCTTACCCTGTTTCTTGGCAAGGAGGCTTTGTGCAGAACTTTGTGTCGCCTCGCTCTGACTTAGAAGTCAAAGCAAGCCGCCACTGTTTTGCACACACAAACACACAGCCCGTCTCAATGGGCATGTTGTCCCAGAGAATGATCTGGCTACTCAGATGCGTCCTGAGTTGGGAAAGTTTGCGAAGCCCCTGTTCTAGAGATAATTAACGCAGCTGGACAGATCTGTATGTTGAACTTCTTTCGCACCGTACGTCGCCAACCGTGCTAATCGGATCTCCCGAGTCTCGACGCATTCAGGAGCTCCAGTACAGACTCTGGGTGGTTGAAGGGGGGCTTTGACAAGACAGCAAATGTCGTGATTAACTCAGCCCCAACCTGCTACCCTCACCACCACCATCACACTCACAAACCACGCCAGCCCCTCTCACCACCGCCAGTAAGTCAACGCGGTGGTGTTGAGGGTGACACGCGCAAAGTGTCGCGTGGTGTGCTGTGTTGTGTGCGTGTTAATGTGGACGCGTGGCGCTTCGTGGTGGTGGTGGTGCGCGTCGCCTGCTCGCGTGGCGTTTGTCATGCGGGGCTCGTCAACCGAACGTGCACATTGCATGCGTCGCGTGAAGAATACACGAGTGAAGAAGACACGCGTGAAGAATACACGCGTGAAGAAGACACGCGTGAAGAATACACCACGTGCTCTGCCGTGTCACGCCGTGTCAAGCGCACACGCGTGGGGGTTGTTGAAGGTGCCACGGTGTACACGTGCCGCGCGTGTCCCAGCGTGCACGCGGCGCGCTAGGGTGTCACGTGAGAAAGGCATCCCAAACTCTCACGGTGGTGCTAATGAATTTTTGATGCTATTTGCGAGCTTGCACAGCTTTACATTTTATGCTAATTCCTTTGTCAAGGCGTTTTTTTTATGTTTACCCACTCACAGCTTAAAGGATGCCACCTGCGCTTGACTTTTTTCACTCCAACGCTGTCCCTCTGGACAGTTGGTCCCTTCACCTGATGAAGGCCACTTGTGTTGTGGCCGAAACGTCGTGATTTTTGTTTATTTTTTTACCTACGTGACTTTACCGAATAGAACCAAAGAGTATAGAAGGCATCATGTTTAACTTGTCGTAAGAATGTGTCATGCGTGTAGCTGCTGCTGCTGCTGCTGACTCACACCGTCGCCACCACCCCCTCTCCCAACAAGAGCAAGGAAGGCGTGGGCCAAAGAAGTAGCAACTCACCTAAAGTGATGGGGGGGGGAGGGTCCAGCAAGGATCGGGGCTTCAGTGGTGACCACGGCCGATTAGACGGCAGCAGCAACAGCAGCAGGAGCAACAACGTAAAAAGCGGCTGGAGCAGCAGCAAGAGCAGCAGCAGCATCAGCAGCAAGAGGAGCAGCAAGAGCAGCAGCAGCAGCGGCAGCAGGAGCAGCAGCAAGAGCAGCAGCAATCGCTCCACGCCTGCCCGCCGCCATGCCTGGCCCTGACACCACCCACACCACCCCGCGCGTCACAGGGAGACTCCCACCACACGTCACAGGGAGACTCCCACCACACGTCACAGGTAGAGAGGGGGGGGGGGAGATAGGAATGGAAGTCAGCATGCCTGTCAACCCCTTATCAGTGCCCGAACTTATTACAGACCCAATTCGGACCTTATTGGTCAACCCCGTGCCGCTTATATATCTCAACGTTCATCCTGCAAAGTTTCATCACAAGGGAGAAACACACATATACAAACTAAAAATGTTGCCCCTATTGAAACGGCTGTACGGCGTGTGGACCTGAAAACTCAATTTCCCTGTACAAAAATAGGGGTAAACCGTATGGGTTGATAGGTATGAGTTAGGGTTAAGGTTTGGGCTTGAGTAAAGTTCGGACTGGGGTTTAGACCCAGAGGGTTAGATAAATGAATGGAAGTTAGGGTTAAGGCTTGGGCCATGAGTAAAGTTAGGACTGGGGTTAGGGTTTTGGTTATGGCTAAAGTTGGTACAGTACTGGGGTTTGGTCCACAGGGATGAGATAGGACTGAAATTAGGGTTTGGGTGAGGGGTAGTAATGTTAGGACTGTGGTTTATTTTTTTTTGGGGGGGGGGGGGGTCAGATTGTATAAGTAAAATGTGTATCGTAAACGCTCCTCCACCCTAAAACTAAACAATCAACTCTAAATCTTGACTTCACATTTTTTTCCCTCCTGATGACGATCGCTTGTGTTGTGATCGAAACGTCGTGGTTTTTTTTTATTAATTTGAACCTATCTACGTGATTTTACCGAAAGACCCAAAGAATATGAAATCATCCATAATAGAGGTTTTTGGGTTAGATCGCGTAAATATATAAATGTGTCGTTAAAACCCGCCACCACCCGACACAGCCAACTAGTAAGGGTTGTCACGTAAACAGAACGTGGCCAATTCGTCACTAGTACAGCACACCGGTGTGTTGGAGAGCCAAGCCACAACATTTACAATCTGAGTACGACGTTTCGCCAAGAATTACAACCAGCTTCATCAACTAGCTTCATCAGCTGTACTCGGGGCGAATTGGCACGTTCTGTTTACGTGACAACCCTTACCAGTTGGCTGTGTCGGGTGGTGGCGGGCTTTAACGACACATTTATATATTTACGCGATCTAACCCAAAAACCTCTATTATGGATGATACTGGTCGCGAAAGCCTACGTGTTAAATATGAAATCAACTTTAAAATCTTGGACATCCCACCCACGTGGTGAGCAGGGTTCAGGAAGGGGGGGAGAGGGCGTGGCACCGGCGGGGGGGGGCGTGGCGAAGAGGGTGTGGCCCACATCGCAGCGCTGCGATTGGCTTCATCCTTTGGAACTAGCCCCCCCCCTCTCACCCCACCCCCCCACACGACTTCCCGCGCATGCGCACTCGTTGGGCCCATGCTGGGTGGCGGCCGAGTGTCCGTGCGTGGTTCCGCATTCCTCTCGAAGTGACCGCCCCCCTCCCCACCACCACGTCCTGCAGGTACCTCGAGCAACTTCGCGATCCCCTTCCCTCTCGAAGTCACGAACAGCCCTCGGACGGGTACAGCCTCGAGCGTCGACACGAGGAGCGAATCGACAGCCTCGCCGCGACCATGAGCGACGTCGACAAGCAGAGGCAGATCAGCGTGCGGGGCATCGTGGGCGTGGAGGACGTGGCCGAGGTGAAGGGCCGCTTCAACCGCCACCTGCACTTCACCCTCGTCAAAGATCGCAACGTGGCCACCCCCCGCGACTACTACTCGGCACTGGCGCACGCCGTGCGCGACCACCTGGTGGGCCGGTGGATCCGCACGCAGCAGTACTACTACGAGAAGGATCCCAAGGTGAGCTGTGGGGTGTAGCGAGTGAGGTTGGGCGGGAGGTGAGAGATGGCTGGGCCCTAGGGGTGGGTGGGTGGAGAAGAGGGGGCAAGTAGCGGAAAACTATCGTGGGGGCAGGGGGGTGCCTTGGCCCACCACCACCACCACCACCCTGGTGGCCAAAAGCTACGAGAGATATGTTTTCAACGACAGTGTAAAATCACACAAACTGATTTAAAACGCGGTTTAGATAATTAAAATTCATTGCTATGAAAATGCTTTCAGCATAGAAGTTCGTTGCTGGGATATTTATTCAGTTTGATACGCGTCAATGGTATCGTAAAGAGTTGACAACGAGTACCGTGGGCGTAATGTTGTGATTCTGCAAGAGGAGTCCGCTGTATACAATATAGCGTAGGTGCGACCGTGCGAGACAATTCAAATATTGTGGCCCCAGCTGACCCGATTGCAGCACCCCCTGAGCTGACAATGGAGCAACTACAAGGGTGGAGTTGACATGGTGATGTGGACGAGGGTGGAGTTTACATGGTGATGTGGACGAGGGTGGAGTTGACATGGTGATGTGGGTGGGTGAGTGAGTGGCTGGGTAACTTGGTGTGTGTGGGTGCGATGTGGCACTGTGGTCGTGAAGAGGTTATGGAACTATGGGTATGGTGGTGACGTATTTGTAAGTGCGTGCTGTTGGATGCTTGAATGAGGTTGTTGAGGTGTGCTTCATGGGTGGAGTGGGATGGGGAGTTTGAGACTGTCAATGGTGGGATGAGGTGCAGTGGGTGGGGCTGCGGTGTGCACTGTGAGCTTGGGATGATGGAGCTGTGGAATTGAGTGGCGTGGTGTTGGGATCGAGGTGGCGAGATGTGGACTGGCGACGGTCAGGTAGGATAACGAGATGCAGTAGCGGATGATGTGGTCGTGGTGTGAAGAGAGTGGATTGAGGTGGTGAGTTGGGGGGGGGTTTGAGAGTAGGAATTCTAGAGATGGCCGCTGCACGGGGCTGGGGTGGGGGTGATTTGCATGGGGACTGTTTAGGTCAATTGTTAGTGGAAGGTGGGGCGAGGTGGTGGTGGTAAACCTGTAAAGTGGGGCAGGCTACGTGGTTAGGAGTGGCGTGGCATGATGGGGGTGCGACGTGGGGTGAGGTGAGGTGGTGGTCTGGAGTGTAAAGTGGAGTAGTGGAAGCTCTGTCTGGGGTGGCGAGGTGTGGAATGTAGTTTGATGAGATGTGAGGTAAGGTGAAAAGGTGAGCTGTAAATTAGGGTGATAAGGTTAAAGGAGTGGGGGGGGTGAGATCTGGGGTGGGGTGGAGTGTTGAGATGCAATGCGTTGTGAATAGGAAGGGTAAGACACTCACAGAAGCAGCAGTCATCAGAAGCAAGTCGGTTTCAACAATGACTTTAGTGTTTAGTTTGTTGTCCTTCGCCGCAGCTCCGATTAGCACGTTTGGCTACGTACTGCCCAAAAGAAGTTCAGCAAACGTACAGAGATCCACAAACAACCAGACCCACAGACAACCAGACCCACGGAGTTACCCACGGAGTTACCCACGGAGTTACCCACGGATTTACCCACAGATTTACCCACAGAGGCACCCACAGAGGCACCCACAGAGGCACCCACAGAGGCAAAGACAAAGATCCCCCGTATAGCCTTAACAGACTGTAGGGGCAAGTGCTGTTAGCGAGCACCTATGAAGGCCGGAACGGTACACGAGGGGGTGGGTGGCCAGCACCACGCCCGACCGCCTTTGTCTCCCTAGTGACAATGTTTACACACCGCACCAGGTACTCATTTGAGGCTGAGTCGACCTAGGGGAGGCCCGGGACCGGTTCAGATAATCGTCACTGGTGTTGGCCGTGAGCGGGAATCGAACCTGGGTCGCCAGGTTCATAGCGCAGCGCGCTAACCGCTACACTATCGCTCCCCACAGAGGCACCCACAGAGGCACCCACAGAGTTACCCACGGAGGCACCCACAGAGTTACCCACAGAGTTACCCACAGAGTTACCCACAGAGTTACCCACAGAGTTACCCACAGAGGCAGCCACAGAGTAACCCACAGAGGCACCCACATAGTTACCCACAGAGGCACCCACAGAGTTACCCACAGAGGCAGCCACAGAGTAACCCACAGAGGCACCCACATAGTTACCCACAGAGGCACCCACAGAGGCACCCACAGAGGCACCCACAGAGGCACCCACAGAGGCACCCACAGAGGCACCCACAGAGGCACCCACAGAGTTACCCACGGAGGCACCCACAGAGTTACCCACAGAGTTACCCACAGAGTTACCCACAGAGTTACCCACAGAGTTACCCACAGAGTTACCCACAGAGTTACCCACAGAGTTACCCACAGAGGCAGCCACAGAGTAACCCACAGAGGCACCCACATAGTTACCCACAGAGGCACCCACAGAGTTACCCACAGAGGCAGCCACAGAGTAACCCACAGAGGCACCCACATAGTTACCCACAGAGGCACCCACAGAGTTACCCACAGGGGCACCCACAGAGTTACCCACAGGGGCACCCACAAAGGCATCCACATAGTTACCCACAGAGGCACCCACAGAGTTACCCACAGGGGCACCCACAGAGTTACCCACAGGGGCACCCACAAAGGCACCCACAGAGTTACCCACAGAGGCACCCACAGAGTTACCCACAGAGGCACCCACAGAGGCACCCACAGAGGCACCCACAGAGTTACCCACAGAGTTACCCACAGAGGCACCCACAGAGGCACCCACAGACGCACCCACAGAGGCACCCACAGAGGCACCCACAGAGGCACCCACAGAGGCACCCACAGAGGCACCCACAGAGTTACCCACAGAGTTACCCACAGAGGCACCCACAGAGGCACCCACAGAGGCACCCACAGAGGCACCCACAGAGGCACCCACAGAGGCACCCACAGAGGCACCCACAGAGGCACCCACAGAGGCACCCACAGAGTTACCCACAGAGGTACCCACAGAGGCACCCACAGAGGCACCCACAGAGGCACCCACAGAGGCACCCACAGAGGCACCCACAGAGTTACCCACAGAGTTACCCACAGAGGCACCCACAGAGGCACCCACAGAGTTACCCACAGAGGCACCCACAGAGGCACCCACAGGGGCACCCACAGGGGCACCCACAGAGTTACCCACAGAGTTACCCACAGAGTAACCCACAGAGTTACCCACAGAGTAACCCACAGAGGCACCCACATAGTTACCCACAGAGGCACCCACAGAGGCACCCACAGAGGCACCCACAGAGGCACCCACAGAGTTACCCACAGAGTTACCCACAGAGTTACCCACAGAGGCACCCACAGAGGCACCCACAGAGGCACCCACAGAGGCACCCACAGAGGCACCCACAGAGGCACCCACAGAGGCACCCACAGAGGCACCCACAGAGTTGCCCACAGAGTTACCCACAGAGTTACCCACAGAGTTACCCACAGAGTTACCCACAGAGTTACCCACAGAGTTACCCACAGAGTTACCCACAGAGGCACCCACAGAGGCACCCACAGAGGCACCCACAGAGGCACCCACAGAGGCACCCACAGAGTTACCCACAGAGTTACCCACAGAGGTACCCACAGAGGCACCCACAGAGGCACCCACAGAGGCACCCACAGAGGCACCCACAGAGGCACCCACAGAGTTACCCACAGAGTTACCCACAGAGGCACCCACAGAGGCACCCACAGAGTTACCCACAGAGTTACCCACAGAGGCACCCACAGAGGCACCCACAGGGGCACCCACAGGGGCACCCACAGAGTTACCCACAGAGTTACCCACAGAGTAACCCACAGAGTTACCCACAGAGTAACCCACAGAGGCACCCACATAGTTACCCACAGAGGCACCCACAGAGGCACCCACAGAGGCACCCACAGAGGCACCCACAGAGTTACCCACAGAGTTACCCACAGAGTTACCCACAGAGGCACCCACAGAGGCACCCACAGAGGCACCCACAGAGGCACCCAGAGAGGCACCCACAGAGGCACCCACAGAGGCACCCACAGAGGCACCCACAGAGGCACCCACAGAGTTGCCCACAGAGTTGCCCACAGAGTTACCCACAGAGTTACCCACAGAGTTACCCACAGAGGCACCCACAGAGGCACCCACAGAGGCACCCACGGAGTTACCCACGGAGTTACCCACGGAGTTACCCACGGAGTTACCCACACAGGCACCCACACAGGCACCGACACAGGCACCCACAGAGGCACCCACAGAGGCACCCACAGAGTTACCCACAGAGTTACCCACAGAGTTACCCACAGAGTTACCCACAGAGTTACCCACAGAGTTACCCACAGAGGCACCCACAGAGGCACCCACTGAGGCACCCACAGAGGCACCCACAGAGACACCCACAGAGACACCCACAGAGGCACCCACAGAGGCACCCACAGAGGCACCCACAGAGTTACCCACAGAGGCACCCACAGAGGCACCCAGAGAGGCAAACCAAAACAAAGATCCCCCATATAACCTTAACAGACTGTAGGGGCAAGTGCTGTTAGCGAGCACCTATGAAGGCCGGAACGGTACACGAGGGGGTGGGTGGCCAGCACCACGCCCGACCGCCTTTGTCTCCTTAGTGGCAATGTTTACACACCGCACCAGGTACTCATTTGAGGCTGAGTCGACCTAGGGGAGGCCCGGGACCGGTTCAGATAATCGTCACTGGTGTTGGCCGTGAGCAGGAATCGAACCCGGGTCGACAGGTTCATAGCGCAGCGCGCTAACCGCTACACTACCGCTCCCCACAACCCACAGAGCCACCAACAGAGTTACCCACAGAGGCACCCACAGAGGCACCCACAGACACACACAGAGACACCCACAGAGTTACCCACAGAGTTACCCACAGAGGCACCCACAGAGGCACCCACAGAGGCACCCACAGAGTTACCCACAGAGTTACCCACAGAGTTACCCACAGAGTTACCCACAGAGTTACCCACAGAGTTACCCACAGAGTTACCCACAGAGGCACCCACAGAGGCACCCACAGAGGCACCCACAGAGGCACCCACAGAGGCACCCACAGAGGCACCCACAGAGGCACCCACAGAGGCACCCACAGAGGCACCCACAGAGGCACCCACAGAGTTGCACGGTTGGCTACATACAGTTCTAAATAAGTTCAACATAATTGTACGAGCAGCATTATCAATCGGTAGGAGCACGAACAGAAGTAGCATTAGCAACATCAGCAGCAACCTTCAACAGCGGAAGCATAAAAAACGAATAGGATCATCAGAAAAAAAAACCTCAAGCAAGTGTCAGCAATAATAGTGGAGGCATTGGTAAGCAATAGGGACACCTTAACCTCCACTGGATTTCTGAATTAAATACATTAGCAATATAATCTCAACCATTGTTGTGATAGTAATGACTCTTACCTGGAAGGAATTGCTTTATCCTGTTCCCATACATCACCACCTGCAGTGGAATACTCGTAATTAACCGTGATCAATCAACTGCTGGATGAAAGCGTCCCCCAAGCTGATCCCCCAAATCTCGTGGTCCTATGTTACCTGAGTGCAAGCGGATTTATTTTGCAAGTTTGCTCCCTCCTTTGTCTGCCTCCCCATCATTGAATTCCACCATCGGCCATCGTCCTCGCAAGCGCCGTGTCCTGATCAAGCTCCACAGTGATGGCATCACGTTTCCCCCCTCTGTTTAAGACCGAAACAGGAGGATGATTTCTCCACAATTTTGGCTGTCGCCTGATGTGGCTGGTTGTGATTACCGGCAAAACGTCGTACTCGAATTGCAAATGTTTTGGGTTTAATCCCCAGCCCACCGGTGTGCTGAGCCAGTAACTAATTGGCATGTTTTGTTAACATGACAAACCTTACTAATTTATTGTCGGGTGTTGGTGGGCTTAACGACACATTTACGTGATCTTACCCAAAAAACCTCTATTCAGGAAGCTCATTTTGTTCAGCAGTCCCTGCGTTATCTATAACTTGCATATTTTCTCTTATCCACGTGTTCCTCTTTTTTTTTTAGTCCCTCGGTCTAATGCACACTTTTCATCACAATGTGTATGCCTAGTAAAGTTACCGAAGGCCGGACCGGGATTCAAACGATTAAATAGAAGAGGTGGACAAGAGCAGGTCGTGGAGTGCTCTTTGGAAAATGAGCTTGGCAATGAAAAGCAACGTGCCAAATTGCCAACGGACTAACGTATGTCACCTGCCATGACATAGATCAGAAACAAGGCAGTGGTATGTATCTTTAGTCCTCTGCCTATTGACAGGTCTTTGACCCCCAAAACTCTCTCCATCTTGTCCAATCTTGAGCTTTCTTCATCATTTCACTATACAGCTGACCTTCTGCTTCTTGGCCTCTTTCCCAACATCCTTCCACAACTTCCTCTGTTGAGCCCTCACCTCTGAGAATGTTGCCCGATCCACATAGTTTTTTTCTGAATTGTTCTGATTATATTGAGCTCACTCCTGAACCGGCTCTAGAACTTTACAGTCACTCTTTCTCGCCATCTGTCTGATTTTGTCCAGCTGACACCACATCTCAAGACTTTGCGGTCTTCGGTCGTATAGAAATGGCTAAATAATGCACCTACATGGGTCTATGGGTCCGATTTTTCCTTCCACATTTAGAAATATGCATTGAGATTATTTCGGGGCTATAAAGTTCCACATGATAATCGACTTTGTTGAGCTATCATTTGTAGCCAGACCACTTCTGAAATATAAAATATCTCAGTGGGCTTCACCTGGTAAGATTAAAAAAGAGTTTAGTTTTACTTGTATATTTTAAAGTGATTTATTTACCTCTCATATACTTTGCACTCCTATCATGATTTTGTATTGTTTGTTGTAAGGTTTTGACCCGTGCTTACTGCACATCTGTAAAAAAGAGCTTTATAGCTCATCGGATTTCTCCAGGATAAATACATATTCTGATTCTGAAAATCTGTTCTGTGCGAGGTCGCTTCTTCTCCACTGCTGCCTCTCCGCTCTGGATCATTCCCATTTGCTCTCTGTGCTGCCAAGTCCGACGATGGTATTTCTCTGTTCGAGCGTTCTAGTATCTTTATTCGTGCCTTCGTGGTACTGGTGCCTTGTGAGCCGCGTGTTTCCCTCTGCCTTCAAAGAGAAAAACAAATTCTGACCTTTCCCGTGATGTATTTACACATGTCTTCCCGTACAAAGGTGCGGTCCCATTTTACTTTGCTTTATATATTCCAGTTGCCGCTGTGGTTGCTGGCGCGTCTACTCTGGCTCCTGTCCGGTGTCTTCCCTACGGAGTGTGTTGCGCGTGTGTGTTTGTGCCGGCCTTTGTTTTTCCTTCCCTGATCCGGCTTCTCCAGTAGCCACTTGCTGACTGCTTACTCTTTTGCCCTTAAACATCAGCACTAAAAGGACAAAGGCGGCGGCCGGACCGTGGTTCAGGCCACACCCCCTCCCCTTCTCCCCCGCCCCCATACCCCCTTGTACACACCATGCAAGTCTCAATAGGTGCTCGCTAACAGAACTTGCCTCGACAGTCGGTTCAGAGGCACATTTGAAGAACCCATGTTATGTATAAAATAAGTCTTGCGTATCTTTTGTTTGTGTTTGTGCATCTGTAAGTCGTTGTGTGGGTGTGTATTTATGTTTGTGTGGGGAGCAGTAGTGCAATGGTTAGCTCGATGCACTACGAACCCAGCAACCCAACACCAGTGACGATTATCTGAACCGATCCTGGGCCTTCCCTAGGTCGACTCGGCCTCAAGCGAGTACCTGGTGCGGCGTGTAAACATCGCCACTAGGGAGACAAAGGCGGCCGGGCGTGGTGCTGGCCACCCACTCCCTTGTGTGCTGTTCTAGCCTTCATAGGTGCTCACTAACAGCACTTCCCCCATCAGTCTATGAAGGCTATATGGGGTGTCTTTGTGTGTGTGTGTGTGTGAGCAGCGCATCTACTACCTGTCTCTGGAGTTCTACATGGGGCGCACTCTGCAGAACACCATGGTGAACCTGGGTCTTCAGAGCTCCTGCGATGAGGCCATGTACCAGGTAATGCCATCGCCGTCAACGCCGCCACTGCAGGCCCTCTCCACTCTCCGGGGATGAGTGCCCGTGCTGCTGGGAGCAGGGCGGTCTGTCCAGACTGGAACGCGTGTTGGAAGCCGCCCCTCTGTCTGTCTGGATTGCCCCCCCCCCCATCCCCCCCGTTTTATATCTAAATTCAAGCCTGTGACCAAATCGCTCGGAATGTGCCGATTTCGTCAGATCTCTGATGGTTGTATGCATGTGTATGCATGGTCCGTATGTTGAACTTTAGCACCGTAGGTAGCCAACTGTGCTAATCAGATGTGCAGGGGAAGGGCAACAAACTAAACACAAAAAGTGGTTATGCAGAAATGCGTTTTCAATTTATGCAAGCAATGGTCACCACCATTGCATGCCAGATTGGCATCGGCAGCTGCGGGGCTGCACTACATTGCGGTTAGCAGAGGTCAGTGCAGATATATGTATTGCTTGTACGGAACTTCTGTGTTCCCCACGTCTGTGCTGCCCACCCTTCGCAAACCCGCACTGACCTAGCGTAGTGAAGTATCGTCAAGAACCTCCGCTATCCACACGGTGTGGGGTAGGCCCTCATCCAGCAGTGGATTGAGAAAAGAGCTGCAGATTTCTGTTTAAATTATTGGTACAGACATCTGGTCGGCAGCAAGGCTTGAGCCAAATGAACAGTTTATTTTGGTCGGCGGGGGGTGGGGGGGGGGTTCAGGAGATTAACGAGAGATGAAAATTTGAAAATGGCATCGGCACTCCATGTCAGGTTTGAGTTAATGTCCTTGACAGTGCAATAAAGTTATTTGAATCACCCTGTTCATCTTATTCTTTGCTAATCGCACGGAACGTGAATACTATACCATACATTAACCTTTTGCATTACAAAAAAATCCTTTTGATAATGTGAATCTATTTTTAGATTTTCTTTTGGTGTGTAATTGACAAAAGCCACTTTACCACTTGCAACCACCGGCAAATTCTAAACAGCTGCTTCGTTTCTCCATTCGCACTCTGCACAAATATATATTTTTAACGGAGCGTTGAGCAACACCACAATACCCCCTTGTTAACGCTTTCCAATTAAGATTGAAAGCATTTATGAATTATCTGCGTTCGTTCATCCATAACAATGGGGGCGTTGTGGGGGGCACAAGAAATCTCTTAAAGATTATCCAAACACGAAGGAAACCTCACTGTATAGTTGCGTAGCTATTGGAGACTTCCGCTATGAAAAACTTGGTTCAGTGATCAAATGGTTGCCCAACACTTTAAGACACCGTCCAGCGCTGAATGGATTTTATGAATCACAACCACATTTTGGCCACACGGGCCACCGGTCGGCTTCCGTACCGCTGATGCGCACATTTGGAAAGCGTCACATCAGAACTCATGCGTGCACGTGTGTTTTTTCCTAACTTATATTTCCGGGACTTTTTTGCCAGTATCAAAATGATTAAACAGACCCAAGAATAATAATACCTATTCTTGCTGTCGGTAAAAGTCACGTAGATAGGTTCAAATAAATGTTGTTATTTTTTGTTCTTTTCTTTGAACCTATCTACGTGACCTTACCAAAAAACCCAAGAATTATGAATTCCTGCAGTCACGAAAGCTTTAAGTCAAGCAAGAGAATAGGTTTTATCCTTTCTGGCAATAAAGCAGGTGTTAAGATGTTCAAAAACCAAATAGATACCCGTTTCAAGGTATCAAGTCTGCATTAACCACACACATTACTTGTGACGAAACATGCAAAACAAACATAATCTGATAATAAATGGGCATTGTCTTTGAAACTGATTGGCCTCCACCGGAGAGAGTCTTCTTTATGACCTAGCCTCACGAGTGTTTGACCAGAGAAGGCCAAAAAGGTGAACATGTATCATTTCCTAACGGGTTCGTTTTAACGATGGCCCTGTTCTGCTCTCTCCGTTACAGCTGGGCCTCGACATTGAGGAGCTGGAGGAGATCGAGGAGGACGCGGGGCTCGGGAACGGCGGACTCGGGCGCCTGGCAGGCGAGTTGCAGCTCCCCGCATCGCGCGTGCGCTACCGCGTTTGTCTGCTCCGTGGCTTCCTCCTCTGCGACTGCACCAAAACCACCGCACCACAACTAACCCTGTACCAATTGGCCCTTGTTGTATTTCTGTATGTTGAACTTCTTTCGCACTGTACGTAGCCAACCGTGCTAATCTGAGGTGCTGGGGGAAGGGACAACATTCTAAACACAAAAAGCAGTTTTAAAGAAACGAGTTTTTAATCTAGGTTTAACTACCTCGCCTGGTGTGCAGGAGGTTATGGGTTCAATTCCGACCCTGAAGCCTGTACATTTGGAGTTTGCCTGTCCCTCTCTCTCTCTCTGGTCATGTGGATTTTTCTCCAGGTCCTCCTCGACATTTAGAAACATGTGTTCAGAGTATTTGTCTGTGATAAATTTCCACATGATGGCAAGTCACTTCGTTGAGCTATCATTTGTGGCCAGGTCGCTTCTAAAAAAAAGAGCTGTATAGCTCAGTGGGCCTTACCTGTTAAAATAAAAAATAGCTTAGTCTAACTTTCCCACTCCAAAGGCCTCCCACATCTTTTTTTCCCATTCCTTTCATGAGTTGCTTCCATGCAGCGTTGGCGTCCGAACACTGTGATGTTTATCTCACTGCTGCCCTATATTCTGCTGTCTTTCCTCTGCTTCTTGTTTGCCCTGCATCTCAAAGTTGTTCATCTCTCGTCACTTCATGTCCTGCCAATCGCCGCTCTATTTCATGAACTCTAACAGCAGCAGCAGCAGCATCGGTGATGCCCTTTTGTGCTCCTCATATTGTAAGTCCTCATTTTAACGCAGCAGATGCATTCCTGATAATTGGCGCGTTAAGTGAAAAACGTGTGAAGCGGAAATCATATCCCCGTATATAATGTAACGATACTGTAAACGATTAAAAGATGGCGGGACAAATAACTGAGGGTATGGTGCCTCGTTACTGTATCATTGCACGTACTGTATCGTACCGCTCGGCCACACAGCTCAAGAAAGTAGTTTGTCAAACTCGATTTGGTGCTTTCGTGACTGCAAGAATTAATACTTGTTTTTTTCGGTAAAGTCACGTAGAAATAAGAAAAAATAAAATTGCAACACAAGCAATCATCATCAGGTACAGGAAACACATAACCGCAGATATATATACAGACCTTAAGTAGAAGGAATTAACACAGATATACCAGGGGATACAGAGAGATGGAGCACCACACTAAATCAAGCAGGGTTTAGCAAAATTTGGAAACTATTTAAGGCCTCGGTACAGAGCTGCTTCACCTCTTAACTGTGTGCGTGTCTTCCCCCATAGGTCTCTCTACGGTATGTATTCTATCACTATCTTAAATTTCACACTCAACTTACAATTTAACAATCTTTGAAATAGTGTATTCAACCAGGCAAGCGTTAATTGTGTTTTAACCGACCATCTGTGTTGCTTTACATAGTTTCTAAATTTTGCTAAACCCTGTTTGATTTAGTGTGATGTTCCGTCTCTCTGTATCCCCTGGTATATCTGTGTTAATTCCTTCTACTTAAGGTCTGTATATATCTGCGGTTATGTGTTTCCTCTGCCTGATGATGATTGCTTGTGTTGCAATCGAAACGTCGTATATTATGTAATTTTATTTTTTCTTATTTCTACGTGACTTTACCGAAAAAAAAACAAAGCTTAAAGTAGTTTGTCGTCAAACATTCAGAAACTGCGTTGTATAGGGGCGCGCGAGTTACCTGTTATACAATGGCGCGAGTTTTGCATTGTGCGAAAAGTGTTCCCTCACGGAAGAACTGTGTTATTAGCGAGAATGCGTTGTGTGTACACCACGCGTTAAGTGAGGACTTGCCGTCATTTCGTTGATTTGACCCTCATGGCGATACCCCGGGGTTCCAAATAATACAAAATTGGCCGAGGCAAATAAATATTTTATTTCTTGGACACTATTTTTTGGCAGGGGTGTAACGTAACTCCGCGACTGGGGTACCAATCGATCCGAAATCAGTGCTACGCCACACATTAGCAAAAAAAAAATCCGTTATCGAAAAATTCTACTTTGAATAGCGCATCGTGTACAGCTCGTCGAGATGAGTCGATTGTCGCATCGCCGACCATCAGCAGACTATAAAAATGACTGCATCACGGACATTATGTGAGAACCGGGGTACCGCTATGAGGTCCATTTGCTCGACCCTCGCCTCATTTCTAATGGAAGTCTTCCGTCTTTTGGTCTGTCTGTGCGGTTTCTCCCTCCGTGCTACAGCCTGCTTCCTGGACTCGATGGCCACGCTGGGATTGGCGGCGTACGGTTATGGCATCCGCTACGAGTTTGGCATCTTCAACCAGAAGATTGCCAACGGCTGGCAGGTGACCTCTCTTGCCTGGAGACGGACGTCGAAACTTTTTTTTAAGAATGATTTATTTTGACCGATTTGTGTGACTATACTTCACCACGCCGGTCACTGTGAGTTGGTGAATGCGGGGGGCATAGAGGGTGGGAGTGCAGTACAATAGAAATGCGGTACAGTAATGGATTTTGCCGCATTGGCCTTTGCTAGCCATGATGTAGCCCTAGCTGCCTCTGATGCCTGCATGGTGGTCACCCATTCAAGTGCTTTTCAGGCCAAAACCTGCTTGGCTTTCTCAGATCTGACAATATCTTTTATAATTTAACATAAATGAGTTTATATTGTAATGCTTTGATTATTAAAGGGTTTGTCTGTTTCCCAATAGCTTCAAAAAGGTATAAGTATTCACATGCCAATTTTTAAAACTGGTCATCAAAGTATTGTTCAAATGTTAATTCTCATCAGGCCCTGAAGAAGGGCAATTGTCCAGATCGTCGCCTATTATATATTTTTCCATTTGTAAACTATACTAAAACTATTTTTATTTTACCAGGTAAGGGCCCACTGAGCTATATAGCTCGTTTTCAAAAGCGACCTGGCCACAAATGATAGCTCAACGAAGTGGTCTATTATGTATAAATTTAGAATCAACGCATGCTGATTATAAATGTGGAGGGAAAAATCCACGCGACCATGGCGAGAACATCAAAACTCCAAATATACAGGCGTCAGGGTTGGGATCGAACCTACGACATCCTGCATACCAGGCGAGGTGGTTAACATTTCTCCACCGCGGCATTATTGCCGAATTTGTTGAGTTGCGAGCTCTTGACGGGGATGGGGCGGGGGGGGGGGGGGCGCCCTCTCGTTCGTCCCTATGTAGATGGAGGAAGCGGACGACTGGCTACGCTACGGGAACCCGTGGGAGAAGGCGCGCCCCGAGTACATGATCCCCATCCACTTCTACGGCCGCGTGGAGCACGGGGAGCACGGGGTGCAGTGGGTTGACACGCAGGTGGGGAGGGGCCCTCGTCGGACCTCGAGCCAATCCACCCTGCCCCCCCACCCTACCCCCCCACCCTACCCCCCCACCCTCCACTCTGCCCCTCCCCTAGTGTGCTTCAATACTGTACATTATTTTGGTTTTGCTTTTGTCATTTTGTAATCTATCCTGGTCTCTTTTGTTCTCACCCTGGTTAAGCAGAATGAACTTGAAACGTAAAATTGGGTGGGTGGCGGGTGGTCCTGATGATTCCAGAAACTATGTTTGCAAAACATTTGAACGATCAGTCTATTTGTCGGTTATTCGATGAATTGGATTGTCAAGTTTGCTTAAAACCTGCATCGAGCGTTGTACGTAAGAATGTGTTTTTTTTCTATTTAAGCTAATGAAACACATTTCGTTTGGCATAGACAAGACGGCCGATACAAACGAGATGGTACAAACTAAATTGAACTGACCTCCACATTTTTACAGATAAATGCATATATGTTGAACCTCTTTTACACCATACGTAGCCAACCGTGCTAATTGGAGGTGCGGAACAGTTCATTGCATCACTGGTGGGGTGAATTGTATAACGTGCTGGCTTACTGCGGAAATTAACCAGCTGACTATTGTGCTGATTGGCCCGGCTTGCTGGAGAGTTTGTTGTGCTTATCGACTGACCAGCTTCACCGACAGAAAGCGGCTCGTTTGGCTGAATGGCGGTGTGGATGGCGGGTGGGCGGGCTGGCAGGCAGAGTGGCTTAAATCACTGTGTGTGGCTGTAAGATTGTGGCTGGCTGGCGATGTGGCTGGAGGGCAGTGTGTCTGACTGCCGGGCAGAACGGCTTATAGCACGGTGTGGCTGTAAAACAGTGGCTTGCTAACGAATGTAGCTGAAGAGGCAGTCTGGCTGACTGCCAGACAGTGGCTTAAAGCACTGTGTGGCTGTAAGATTGTGGCTGCCTGGCGATGTGGCTGGATGGCAGTGTTGCAGGCTGACACAGCCAGCCTGCTTGCCAGTTGAATGTGACTGACGTGTGAGGCCTGTTGCATGCAGGTGGTGCTTGCGATGCCGTACGACACGCCGATACCTGGCTATGGCAATAACACCGTGAACACAATGCGGTTATGGTCAGCGAAGGCTCCCAGAGACTTTAACCTCAAGGACTGTAAGTTGATTAATCGGTCTCTGTAGGCCATAGTTGTTTCTTACTGCATTGACCGTGGCTTTCTCTCTCCGTGCTGTGTTGTTTGCTGTTTTTGGCCCCCCACAGTTCTATTTAAATTGCTTTCTTGGTCTTAGTCAATCAAGGGGTACAGCACTTTCCCACAATCCCTGGCTGTGGAGATGTTTATCGTGTGTCGGGCAAAGCAATGTTTAAATTGTTTACTTCCTGTAGCTGATATTCTTAGCTCTTTCGGTAAAGTCACGTTAAAGGGAAACAATAAAATATATTTTTTATTGTTATATATATTTTATTATTTTATTGTTTCCCTTCAACGTGACTTTACCGAAAGAGCTAAGAATATGAATTGCTGCAGTCACGAAAGCTTTAAATCTAAATTTCCCATAGCTGTTTTTTTTTTTGCTCCAATTGAAGTCGGGAAAAAACAAAAACGACTTAGTTTTGTATTTTTGTGCAGTCATTGGGGGCTGGACTAAGATCACCATCAACTCGCTACACTCGAGAATCCAGTTTTAATCGCGGTTTGCCAGCTAAAACCCGAATTTGAACCCGAGCTCTTTTGGCGGTGCCCGCTCAGCGTCTCTGGCCCTCGATTGACCCCGGCCACACGGTCTGTGCTAAGAATTTTTTGTTTGTTATTTTTTTTTATTTTGAACAAGATTCCCGGTACAGAGCCCGAGCAATAAGGGGGTGGGTGGTACAGATATTCCACGGAGGAAGGCCCGAGGCCAGGTGCTCACGGGGCAGGAGATAAGGAATGAGGTTGGACTCTCTGCCCCACTAACGTCGGGATAATGATCAGGAGCATGGCATTTTTAGGGGAGGGGAAGGCAAGGGAAAGTGGCGAGGGTAGAGGAGAGAACGTACCCAAATAAAGAACATGTGCGCAGCAGATTAATAACGTGCGGGACAGAGAATGTTAAGAATTTGCGTTGACTTCCAGGTAACTTTACTGTAAACATTAGAAAATTGTGCGCCTCTGGCATGTCTTGACATGCTTCGTCCGGCAAGATATTTGATCGCTAGTCTTGGCTGCCGCGCTGGCGTTGAACCGTCCCTAATGTGATCGTGACCGCGCGCAATTACAAAGACCCTACAAAGCAAACTGGAAGCGGCGCAATATGTGGATTTTAAGGAGGACGGACAGGATGTGTAACGTAAATGTGTTGCGGAAAGCAGCAGAGTACACGGTGAGTAGATTAATGAGAATGATTAGAGAAGGGAAAGTTAGATGTCTTAGAGATGCAATGAGAAAACGAGAGACTGAATTAATATAATGTTTTGCCAGGGAAAATTATAAGCAACAATTGAGTGCAACCAGGAGGAGTTTATCTCACGCACAATTCTCGAGTAAATCGCGTGGACAGAGCTCAGTGGAAGGAAGGCCATGATCGCCGACGTCTTTGAGAAAGGACACGGGACGTACAGAGAGGGAGAGAGAGAGAGAGAGGGCAACGCGGTAACTGAAGTCGCGTTCCGTAACGGTTCATCGTGCTGTCCACCACAACGTTGACGGGTCCCCTCTTCGCTCTCGCCATGCTCGATGACGGTGCAGTCAACGTCGGGGACTACATCGACGCGGTGCTGGACCGAAACCTGGCCGAGAACATCTCCCGTGTGCTCTACCCCAACGACAACGTGAGTGCCGCCACGCGTTAGGACCGGGGTGCGGCTCGCTTGCCAGTCTTGCCCGATGAGCGCCGTGCATCCGGTTCGTAGGTCAGAATAGCCCGGCACACGCGAGAAAAATGGGAAATTCTGCTGAAAGAAAAATAACCACGAGTGAGTGCAGTAGCAAGTCAATGATTGAGTGGATGAGTAAATGTATTGGCGAGTGTACTCTTGAAAGAATTGGCTATGTAACAAGTGAGAGAATCGGTGCATGAGTGAGTGAAGTAGTGAAAGAGTTAGCTCGGGAATGAGTGAGTGAATGAGTGAAGGGGTCAATAAACTGCTGAAAGAGTTGTATGAATGAGTGAAAAGCAAATTGAATCTGTGAACAAATAAATGAACGAACGAGCAACGAGAATGAATAGACGATTGAACGAGTGAGCGGAACGGACGAGTGTGTGCACGATCGAGCGGATGAGTGATGGAGCGGGTCGACCCCTTGAACCCTGCGCGCAGTTCTTCGAGGGCAAGGAGTTGCGGCTGAAGCAGGAGTACTTCGTGGTGGCGGCGACGCTTCAGGACATCGTGCGGCGCTTCAAGTCGTCCAAGTTCGGCTGCCGCGAGCCCGTGCGCACGTGCTTCGACTCGTTCCCCGAGAAGGTGGCCACTCGTCGGCTCGCTCACCCGCTCGACCGCTCACTCATCCACCCGCTCACCCGCCCGCTCACCCGCTAACCCACCTACTCGCTAGCCCCGCCCGCTGGCTCGCTCACCCACCTGCCGTTCACTTGCTCTCTCACTCGCCCACCTGCTTGCTCGCCCGCTTGTTTCAACGTTCCACCAAGTGTCTCTCTTCTTGGTAAGCGACGTGCAGTGTGGTCGTCGCTCGCATCCTCAAGCAGAGGTGTCGGTTTAAATGAGTTTAGTACCGGTCTCGGGCGTTGTGATTTCCAGTCGAGCAATCTGATCGGTTTCACGGTGTATTCGCTAATCGGGCACTTCCACAAATTACGCAGTCTCAGAGTTTCAGAGGAGTCCTAATTGTACATGCGCTTGTCACGAGGGCCTCTCCCACGCCGTGCGGCTAATTGGGGTGATTTGACCAAACTTCACGACGCTGGTCAGTGCAGGTTGGTGAAAGTGGGGCGCGCAGACATCAGGGCATCGATGTTTGTGCACCCGACTTAGCCCCTCCCCCATTCTACTATGCCAAACCAAGATGACACTTCATGATCGAACCCACGAGTATGCACGCCTTCAAAGTGTCTTGAGGTGCGCTTCTGAAATCGAGTCGTGGAGCGGTGACGGTGCAGGCTTGACGGCGCGCCCGTGTCCGCTGCTGCTGTCACTGCTGCTGGCGAGCAGGTGGCGATCCAGCTGAACGACACTCACCCGGCGCTGGCCATTCCCGAGCTCATGAGGATCCTGGTGGATTTGGAGAAGCTGGAATGGGACCGGGTGAGAACATCTCTCCCTCCGTGCGTGATGGTGGACAACGAGTGAGCGGGGCCTGCCTTGTGGTGTGAGGCAGTGGACAACTGGGGGCATGGCCCGTCTCTTGGAGGTGGTGGTGGTGGCAGTGGCCGTGATGGAGGGAGGTTGCAGTTGTGGTAGTGTGCAAGCAGTTATGCTCTTCTGGCCGTGCCGCTCATTTGTGTTGACGTGAAGGATGTATGGCTGCCACAAGCTAGACGAAGTTGGTGATCCCTTAATCGTGAATTCACTTGAATGTCATGAACCAACACCTTGAATTGACAACGGCGGGTGGCGGGAAACCCCGTGTACATCTCCGAGCAGAACTAGAGGTGTTCACAACGCTTGCTTTACGAAAGTAAGTGTCGACACGGAGATTTTTTTTATTCTCAAGGCATCTTGTAAAGCGTGATTAGACAATATTTCAACGCAATCTCATGCTTCCTGCACCATTGCCCGGCACGCCTGGGCCACTGGTGCATGCATGTGAACCCGCTGTTTATTGGGATCCCTAATTAGTTGCTTAGGGGATAGATCGTCTAGGTTAAATGCCAGTTTTTTTACAACAACAAAAAACCCAACATTTTTCTTGCCTTTCAACATCGCGGTTTGGCTGATAATCAAAATCAATTGACATTTTTGCCCACGACGTGACAACTTGATTGGATTGGCTCTTTTCGGGTGGTGGGGGTTATAGTAAAAAAAAATGTATAGATATAATTTATTTACTTCAGCAGGAATGGCACAGTAAGCTTTTTAGGCTCTACAATATTATACCTACACGATGTAACGCACAAGAAATCAGTGATGAATATTGACATTGGTCGTGAAAGCCTACCTATAAAATCGCTGTTTATTATAAAAACTAAGAGGCAGCTTGTGAACACGGTCGCGTTAAACATAATTGTGATTGTTTGGTAACCCCCCCCCCCGCTCGCGTACTGCCCCCCCCCCCCGACTCGCACCGTTGCTGCCCGGCAGGCGTGGGACATCGTGGTGCGCACGTGCGCCTACACGAACCACACGGTACTGCCCGAGGCTCTGGAACGCTGGCCCGTGCATCTGCTGGGGAATCTGCTGCCACGCCACCTGGAGATCGTCTACGAGATCAACATGCGCCACCTCACCGTGAGTCGCGACCGGTCTGTTCGCCCTCTCCCTCGTGCTCTCTCGTGCTCTCTCTCCTGTGCTCTCTCTCCTGTGCCCTCCTCGTGCCCTCTCTCAACGTCACCGATGCGCGACGGCAGTTGGCGGGGGTGTCAGAGACACACCGGCCGTTGGTTTCGTTGGTTGGGTGGTTTTTTTACGCGCTCACATTTGAATTGAAGCCAATGGTGATGGACGGGTCTACATTCTCACAAAAGCAATATCCCCATATGCTTTTTTTTTTCCCTCCCGTTAGGCTGACCAGGGTGGTGTTTGGCGGGGTGGGGGGGGGGGGTTGCTGTGGTGGCGGAACCCGGCGACATGTGTTCGATTCCTGTTGACGGCCATCACCAGTGACGATTATATCTGAACCGGACTGGGCCTCCCCTAGGTTGACTCATCCTCAAAATTAGCACCTTGTGCGGTGTGTAAACATCATCACAAGGAAAACAAAGGCGGCCGGGCGTGGTGCTGGCCACCGACCCCCTCGTGTGCCGTGCTGGCCTCATAGGTTCATAACAGCATTTGCCCGAACAGTCTGTTAAGGCTACGCGGGGGATCTTTGTCTTTGTCATTGGTGGCGGAATAGAAAATCGAGGCACTATTTCCGGGGGACTTGGACCGTATGCGCCGCATGTCCCTGATCGAGGAAGAAGGCACCAAGCGCGTGAACATGGCGCACCTGTGCATCGTGGGCTCGCACGCCGTCAACGGCGTCGCGCGCATCCACTCCGACATCATCAAGGCCACTTGGTAACGATCGCCCCGGTAACGATGTTCGTTCTCGTGGCTGAAACCCCCTCATCTATCCCCCCCCCCCCCCGCCCGCCCGCCCCCAGACACAACCGAGTCTTCATCTCTCGCTCGCTCGCTCACATTCTCTCTGCTCCTCCCTGTCCCTCTCGCAGCTTTCGCGACTTCTGGGAGATTGATCCGAAGAAATTCCAAAACAAGACGAACGGCATCACCCCGCGCCGCTGGCTCCTGCTCTGCAACCCGGGGCTCGCCGACATCATCGCCGAGGTGACGGGCACCAGGGCAACGGGAGACGCACACCAACAGCCAGAAGGGGCCCAGGCGGCAAGCCTGGCATGGGGTCGGGGTAGGATTAAGGTTACGGGATATAAGGGTGGGGGGCTTGGGGTTTTAAGGGATTGGGTTAAAGTAGGGTTTGGGGGTAGGACAGCAACAGCTGTTGGTGCTGCTGCTTTTACTCCTGCTGCTACCGTTGCTACTGCTGTTGCTGCAACTGCTTCTATTGTTGTCGCTGTTACAACTCTTGTTGCTGCCAATCCTTCTGCTCTTGCTGTTACGACTTTGTTGCTTTTGCTGCTGTGCCTACTGCTCTTGCTGCCGCTGATGCTAGGGCTGCTGCTCTTACTTTGTCTGCTGCTTGTGTTTCTTTAGCTACTACAGCTACTACTCTTGCTGCTGCTGCTGCTCGTGTTGCTGCTGCTGCTCGTGTTTCTGCTGCTGCTGTGGCTACTGCTGCTGCTATGGCTACTGCTTGTGTTGCTATTGCTGCTAAAGGCTGCTGTTCGTGTTGCATCTGCTACTTTTGTTGCTGCTACGGTGACTGCTCTTCCTGCTGCTGCTGCCACCTACGGTAGCGTGGGCAGCAGCTCCGCGTGACCGTTGCGGAATCGCCGCCATCGCGTGCGTGCCGGGTGAGGTGGGGGGAGGGTTGAGTTGACGCCCGGTGTGTCGCCCGCTGTTCCGCGCAGCGCATCGGAGACGAATACGTCAACGAGCTGTCGCAGCTGTCGAAGCTCGGCGACCTGGTGGACGACGATGCCTTCATCCGGGACGTGGCCAAAGTGAAGCAGGTGGGGAGGCGGACGACGATAAATAACGAGGGTAGAGGTACAGGTGCAGCCCTGCAATTGCGAAAGCTAAACCCCTAACTCCTGGGGGATTTTTCTTTTGGCATCTCCGATTAGCACGGTTGGCTACGTACATGCTTACGTGGAAAGCAATCCTCCTGGAATGCATTGGGGTACGAGCCCCCAATGGCTGATGGACGTACGGCATATAAAGAAAGATGCAGGTGCATCCCTGCAATTGCTTGCTCTTGCCACCCGCTGGTGGAAGGGAAGCCACAAGCGGGAGCTCTGGAGAGCCCCCCCCCCCTCTCGATGAGGGTGGTTTTGGCCAATTTGTTCCACGCCAGCTGGAGGTCTTGGAATACCTGGCGGTACCCACACTTTACCCCACCACACAAGATATGCCGTTGACGAATTGTGGTTTATTTTTTACTTCTGGGGGTGGGGCGGGATAAAACAGAATAAATTGGTATTTACAGCATTGTTTACAATTGTGACTGGCATCTGTGATTTGACCACTGAATTTATCCTGATAATGTTTTTTGGAACAATTGCAACATTTTTTTTAATAACGACAATTTTGTTCCATTGTTTTGTTAGAGATTGCACGCGCTTGTCTCACGCGTCTGCCCCACGGAACTTCCTCTTTTCGATTTAAAGCTTTCGTGACTGCAAGGATTCATCTTCTTTGGTTCTTTCGGTAAAGTCGCGTAGAATGAGAATAAAATAATAAATTAATAAAATATAATAACACAATAAAATTCTCACGACGTTTCGGCCACAACACAGGTGGCCTTCATCAGGTGAAGGGACGAGACTGTCTGGAGGACAGCGCTGGAGCGAACTTGTGTTGTGGCCGAAACATCGTGAGAATTTTATTGTGTTATTTTATTAATTTGTTATTTTATTCTCATTCTACGTGACTTTACCGAAAGAACCAAAGAAGAGGAACTTCCTCTGTCGACCCCAGCCAATCGAATGTCTACAGTTCTATTGCTCTTCATGTCCGGATTGTTGAAAATCGTTTGTATCCCGTTGTGGCGGTGGTGGCGACGGCGCAGGAGAACAAGCTGAAGTTCTCCGCGTTGCTCGAGAAGCAATACGGCGTGGCAGTGAACCCCGACTCGATGTTTGACGTCCACGTCAAGCGAATCCACGAGTACAAGCGCCAGCTGCTCAATTGCCTGCACATCATCACGCTCTACAACCGTGAGACACCGACGCCTCAACCGCACGCAAACCCGCTCATTCACGCGTCGTCACGCTGTACAGCCGTGAGACATCAACCAGCCTGCAAAGCCACCCACACACCTGTCCACCTGCTCACCCGCTCACCTACCAACCTGCACACCTACTCACCTGTCCACCTGTCCATCTGCTCACCCGCTCACCTACCAACCTGCACACCTACTCACCTGTCCACCTGCTCACCCGCTCACCTACCAACCTGCACACCTACTCACCTGTCCACCTGCTCACCCGCTCACCTACCAACCTGCACTCCTACTCACCTGTCCACCTGCTCACCCGCTCACCTACCAACCTGCACACCTACTCACCTGTCCACCTGCTCACCCGCTCACCTACCAACCTGCACTCCTACTCACCTGTCCACTTGCTCAACTACCCACCCATTGTTTTCAAATGTGTTTTTTTTTGGCTCCTCCCATAATAGGCATCAAGAGAAACCCAACGAAGCGATTTGTGGCCCGCACCATCCTGATTGGGGGAAAGGTAACGGCTCAGGAGAAGTGTAGTTCATAACAATCGCAAGATGCCTCTCATTCGGAGTTTACTTTCCCAAATATGCAAACGCGCTTTGCCCCCAACAGCTATCCATCGGATTCCTTGTCACTAATAATTCCGAGAAAAAGTGCATCTTGGAAAGTGTCACGCAATGCATGCTTAAACATTATTTTTAAAATTGTTTTTGATGTACCCATTCCATATATTTGCGGTCTGGAAAAACCCATAGAGGCAGACAGTCCAAAGCGTCATGTTATATTTTAATATTTTGTTGGTGTAACGCCGCTTGTCTCTGTCATTCCCATTCCCCTGTCCTGTCCAGGCAGCCCCTGGCTACCACATGGCCAAGATGATCATCAAGCTGGTGACGTCCATCGGCGATGTGGTGAACAACGACCCCATTGTGGGCGACAGGCTCAAGGTCATCTTCCTGGAGAACTACAAGGTGTCTCTCGCCGAGAAGGGTGAGGCTTCTCCGCGGTGGGCCGCGACAATCCGTCCACCCTCTCTTGCCCGCCTGTCGTCGTCCATAGACCGTTCGCCACTCATCGTTTGCTATACTCCCAGAGTCGGCCTTCTCCCTCTCCTTCAAAAAGAATCTCCTCCTGGTCGTGTCACAACAAGCTGGGTGCCAGCTCATCCCACGGACGGGGGGGTGGGGGTGAATCATTGTTTACAAACTGCCGCATGATCCTCAGTGAAACTGTTTTGCTGGATTTGGGCTTTTACGGGAGGTACAGTGCCTGTACCTCCCGTAAAAGTAATCCAACTTGGATGAAACTTTTTGAGTATAAAGTGGTGTTGGTATAATTGGAACATGTGCCCTGTTGAAAACTGCCCGTATTGATCAGAGAAATTTATTTATTTGCGAATATGCAAATTATTTGTGCGCTGACATCATCCCTGGCAGCCTCTTATCGGCTTCCATGCTGATGGTTACATTCTTCCGAGGAAAAACGCACGTTGGAAGGTGCTATGCAATAATCCATGTGTATGCACGATTTTTCTTGCTTTGTTTTAAATCATAATTCTTGGTGGCCTGGGTTTATTCATTCTGCTGCTCAAAATAGTACGTGCGTGTGCATTAGGGTGCCACTCAGAAGTTAATATTTTTTTTCCAGGTCACGCCTGTTAAACTGAAGGCACTGACTGCAGGAATTAATATTCTTTGGGTCTTTCGGTAAAGTCTCGTAGATAGGCTCAAAGAAAATAACAAAAAATAATAATAAAAAACTACGACGTTTCTATCGCAACAAGCTTGTCTATCTTACGTGGCTTTACCGAAAGACCCAACGAATATAACGGCACTGAGTTTACCGATGATCCGTCAATATTCTCCGATGACTCAACACGAATTCCAGTTAATGCACATAGAGTCATAGTAAAGGCATAGACACGCAGAGGAGGAGGGGGCATCCTGTAAGTGTGAACAGATCAGAATGGCATTCTCAGCCTTTGACTTATACTGGAAATGTAACGAATTGAGGGTACGTATATTTAACGTCTTTCGTTACCGTACGTAACCAACCGTGCTAATCGGAGGTACAGGCGAAGGGCAACAAACTAAACACGAAGTGCAGTTGTAAAGAAATTAGTTTTCAATGTAGATTTAAAACTGGATAGCTCCAGTGGCTTCCTGAAATCAGAAGGAAGAGCTTTCCAGACGGCTGCAGAAGTGCATCTGAAAGCGCTCGATGCAGTAACCGTCTTTCTTTTATGGCTAGTCAAAAGCCGCCGCGGGGATGCCCGAAATTCGTGTGATTGTTTACACTGTTTAACGAGATCGGCAAAGGAATGTTTTTTTGATAGACGTCCCGTAGAGCAGCGAATTCCCATAATCGTGGCTTGTCAGATACTACGCTACGTGCCACCTTGTCGGCTACGTCACGTGTTGGCCGCGGCGCGTATCCAGAGGCCACGACTCGTGCTCGCAATTCCTCGTCCTCCTCGGTTTCGATCGTAACCGCGGCGCTCGCTCACTCGCTCGCTCGTTCCGCCGCCGCCCGCAGTGATCCCGGCGTCGGACCTCTCGGAGCAAATTTCCACGGCCGGCACGGAGGCGTCTGGCACGGGCAACATGAAGTTCATGCTGAACGGAGCGCTCACCATCGGCACCATGGACGGCGCCAACGTGGAGATGGCGGAGGAGGCCGGAGAGGAGAACCTCTTCATCTTCGGCATGCGTGTCGACGAGGTGGAGGCGATGGACAAGAAGGGGTGAGGGGGAGAGTCGTCGTCCGACAAGACAACGCAATGGGCTTGGAATGGGTTTGGGGAACGCGCCTCGATGTCGCCCGTGCAGGCGCCCGCTCGGTGGATGACCTCGTCCGTCAGCGGATTGAACTTGGCTGAATATGAATGTGGCCGCATCCAGCGAGTTGTACACCGAGGGTGTCAGAACGCATGATGAGTTCGTGTATGTACACAGTGTTGCTTTTTTTGCGTTGTTTTTACGTGGAGTGCTCTCGCCAGTAAGAGCCAGTCATCCCGAAGCACTTGTTTAGCAAGGCTCACTCTGCTCCACAGCAGTGCATAGTGATTTGTTTAATTTAGTTTATTGTCCTTCCCCCGCACCTCCGATCAGCACGGTCGGCTACGTACGGTGCGAAAGAAGCTCTACATACATACGTACGTCCGCAGCAGCGGGCGCACATCAGGGAGTTGGGGGGTGGGGACAGGTGGGGTAGAGGCAACACCGTGGTGGGGGGGGGGGGGGGAGGGGGGGTTCTCGGTTGAGGCGTGGGCGTTGTCGTGACCCCGCCATCGTCGTCCGGTGCCGCAGGTACAACGCGCGCGACTACTACGAGCGCCTGCCCGAGCTGCAGCAGGCGATCGACCAGATCAGCAGCGGCTTCTTCTCCCCCAAGCATCCCCACGTCTTCGAGGACGTCGTCAACATGCTCATGCACCACGACCGGTACTCGCGACGGCACGGCCCGCCGGGAGGTGCGCCCGTCGATTGTGGCAGAGGGTCCGTAGTTGGAACCGGGCAGGCCGCCCTGGTTAATTAGGGGCGCCACGGTGGCGAAATGTTAACTACCTCGCATCGTATGCGGGAGGTCGTGGGTTCGATCCTGGAGTTTGCATGTGCTCTCAAGTTGAATCGATAGTGCGCCGATATCAATGCGTCGTGGAAATGCGACGGAAAAAAACTGACCAGCGGTTCTGCCTTTCTGCCGCCCCTCGCCCCCATGCCACGGTGGCTAGGAGATGTTAACTCCCTCGCCTGGTATGCAGGAGGTCGTGAGTTCGATCCCGTCCCTGACGCCTGTGTATTTAGAGTTTGCGGTGTCTTTCTCATTGTTGTCGCTTAGATTTTTATCCACGTGCTCCAGTTTTTTTGGCTGCTATACATTGCCACATTATAAGCCGCCACTTCCGTTAAGCTATGATTTCTGAAAAAGAGCTGTATAGCTCAGTCGGCCTTACCTGGTAAAAAAAAAAAAGTGAGGTGTGGTATTGATCGTAAAATACTGCGCGCCGTCCGTTTCGACTGCAGTGGATGCTAAAGATCCCCGGACGGCTTCCGAAACGAGTAGGCCGTCGTGTGCCAGCGTCACGGGATTCAACTTTGCCACATTTGAAAAATGACGCCGCAGTTTACTGTAATGTGGATTGTACACGGCAGCATTCATAGCCTCCTACTGGCAGCAGACTAATGCCCGCTTTCATGCCAGGTGCAGTCACATTTTGCCGCACAGGGACGTGCCACCGGGGGTGACATTTTATGATGTGGTGATGTGAGTCGCTAATTGTGTATAAGAGGGTCCTGTATAAAGGAGTGTGGCTCTTTATCAAAGACACGAATCATCATAACTTACGAGCATTTAAGGAACAACCTTGCAAAAGTTTCAGCCAACCCTCGATTCATCCGGATTGTGGATTAACAAATTCAAATATTGCAACAACAACAAAAAAAATGCCCCATTTATATTATTGGCTGCTCCTCACTCGTCAAGGGTCTGTGACTTGGGTCCCCCCCCCCCCGAGTGACGTGAACGCCCACGTGACCGCAGACAACACGTCAGCCCAGTGAACCAATCACTCGAAGGTGCAATATAAACTGACGCGTTGTACGTGTTCACCCCCTTTCCGCGAAGTTCAACCCTAAATCCGTCTTATCGCCTAACTTTACCTGCGGTTTATTGCATCTCCTTCTCTTTGTTTTATCCGGGCGATGCCGCCTCCCCCTTCCACTCCGCGCTACCGTGCGGTAATCCAATGTCGCCTGCAGCCACGATGTGTTCCGCCGTACCTGCCTGCTGCGATGTTTTAAGTGTCGACGTTTGAATGACGTTCGCAGGTTTAAAGTTTTTGCGGACTTTGAGGATTACATCAAGTGCCAGGAGAAAGTCAGCGAGCTCTACAAGGTGAGCAGTTTACGGTGGACTTCACAAACTCTACTTCACGTTGGTTTTGTTCATTTATTGCTCTAGGTTTTTATTTATCCAGCAGTGGATAGACAATGGCTCGTCATGATAAGGGGTCGGACCGTCATGCTGACGGGCGTTGAGCGAGAGTGAGCGTTGCGGAGGTTCGCAGTTCGAACAGAGCGGCCGCCCTGGTTAATACTGCAATACCCGCCATTTACTTAGCAGCGGACATTAAAGATCCCGTTTCTTTATTTCAAAGAGGAGTGGGCCATGTGTGCTGGTTTCACGGTCCAAATTTTCAATATATTTGATGAATATTTAGCAAAGTTACTTACGTGCGAAAAGCCACGTCGTAACATCGTCCCCCACGTGGCAGACTGTTTCTCCATTGCAGGCCGGTGCTACGGTCGCTTTGTGGCGCACAGTGACAGCTGCCACCGGGGGGGGGGGACCCCGGGGGGGGGTCCCCCATGGTTAGACTACCCCGAGATATACAGCATGGGCGAGGGCGCGCGGGATAAAACACTCAGTGATGACGATGACAACGCCATCGCCGCCCACTTACCCCTCCCCTCCTGACCCCACCCGCTGCGCATAGAACCCCCGCGAGTGGACGATCAAGGTCATCCGCAACATCGCCGCGTCCGGAAAGTTCTCGAGCGACCGCACGATCGCGGAGTACGCGCGCGAAATCTGGGGCGTCGAGCCTTCCCGCGTCAAGATCCCTCCGCCGAGCAAGCCCCGCGAGGAGGGCCACACAGCAGCCACAGCAGCCACAGCAGCCAAAACGGCGCCGCCACTGCCGCGTTCGCACAAGGAGCTAGTGCGTGCCATCAGCGACTACTAAACAAAGGGCCCGCCCCGCCCGTGCTGCGCCGTGTGGAGGAGGGCGGGGAGAGACGGCGCTTGGGTCCGGGCTGAGCGGGGAGCGTCACCGGCCCTGGGGCGGTGAGCCACGCGGCGCTCGCTGGGAAGGAAGGGCGTCGTGAAGGTTGCAGGTGAAAGATACTCTTTGGTTCTTTCGGTAAAGTCACGTAGAAAAATAATAATAGATCACGGCGTTTCGATCGCCACACAAGCGATCGTCCTCAGGTGGAATTTTTCTACGTGACTTGACCTAAAGAACCAAAGAGTATGGATTCCTGTAGTCACGAAAGCTTCAAATCAAGATTGCAGGTGAAGATGTTTTAAAAAAGAGATGTAAGGTGCAGCCTCTTCAATAGCTCGCTCGTACCACTGCGGGCGGGAGAGCTGTGGACAGCCCATCTCCAAGAGGGCATTTGGCCTACTCTTCCAACACTGTACTGACGTCTCGGGAATATGGTGGGGTGCACCCAATGCAGAACCCTCCGGAATAAAAGGGTCCGACTCGGTGAGGATTCCCTGGATAAAAATAGCTGTTATGGAGTGCAGGGTTTAATCATTTGGTAACGGTGGTTAGCCGACCAGGCCGCGGAGTGCAGTTTACTGGAGTGCCGCACCACTTCTGATTGGTTCCCACTCTAGCAGAGGGCTTAACTCTGCCTCCCGTCGTACAGAACTACACATCAGCTCGCACGTATCCCTCTCAAACTCTGAACGCCCCACCTTGCATGGAGCTCAACCACTAAAGTCGGCACCCACCCTGCCCCCGGGCCCCCCAGCTAGGGGTGGGTGTGGTCCCTTCCCTTCGAGTCTGGCTGACTTCACAGAACCTCGCACGATTGACCCCGGCCCTCCTTACAGTCCACTGGCGTTGTGCAGAGGCAGCCGCTACCCCAAGTTGGAGTACGGAGGAAACACCGTGTGTTGCCAAGCCCGACCAGAAAGCCAAGCAAGCACTAACCCCACTGGCAGCACTCGCTAGAGTTATAGCAGTACCGGCCGGTCCGTCGATTTCGGCGGGTAACGTGTTCCACCCTTTCCAAGACGTCTGCCTAGTGTGGAGGAGTAGGCCAATGTACCCACTGGAGAGGGGGGAGGCCCTTCCGCTAGCAGAAGTGGTGGTGAGAGGGCCATTCCGGAAGCTTCTGTCCGACACCATCCGGAGGAGAGATGCACCCGCCGGCAAACGATGGTGGGTGCTACCAGGCCATTCAAAAACTGGATAAGATATGACGAGGATGTCGTCGTTGTTCGTGGCGGTGATGGCAACACTTAGTGCGTGTGCGTGAGCTCTTTCGGCAGGCAAGGCTGCGTTGACTGGGTCATGTAGCCCGCGTACCCGGCCACCGCATGCCTAAGCAGCTTTTGTTCAGCCAGATAGAGGGGGCTAAACAGGCGCGGCACAGGGTAGAGAAGAGATGGAGTGATTTGATACAGGAGGATGTGGAGCTGAGTGGACTTGCTGATGACTGGTACTAGTGGAATCAAAATCGCCCTCTGTGGAGGAGGCTCGTGAATGACACTACTGGGCAGTTGGAGGCAGTCGCCCTCCAACAACAACGGAGGTCAGAGGAGCGACGCTCACAACAACGAGTGGAATGCCGGATGGCTTTAGCACAGCAAGTTGACACAGTAAGGGGCACAGGTGGTGGATCAGCCAGTCATCTCAGTCGGGCAACCCATGGCACCTGGGTCTGTCCTATGACCTCCTGCCAGCGGGAGTTTGACACTTCATGTGGCCTTAATGTGCAGATGGCCTGGCACAAGCGCCGTGGTGATGTTACCTCTACTTAGTGCCGAATGGCGGTTGTGTGCGTGTGTGAAGCCACTGAGCAGCCCAGCTTCACGTGAGAATGTGGAGTTGGGGTTCTTTTCCCCGGGCAATGCGATTCGCTGAAAATCAGATCGAGTTGCAGTCTGATTTGAGCTAGTCGAGCAGTGAGCGCAAACTTAAAAATGTCCTTCCCACCCTCATTATTAGGGCTGTATGGGATAGTGTTGCACCCTCGCACGCGTGGATTTTCTCAGGGTCTCTGTTTTCCTCCCATGTGTAAAGACCAATAACATCTTTAAAAGTTAAAGGATCGCAGAGCTTGGGCAATTGTTGGTGCCGGCTCACCGCGTGGCTGCTGCCTTCCCTACTCCATCTGTGGTTCCACCTGGCGCCTTCTTGAGTCGTTCTAACACTTGCGCAGTGGTATGTTGCGAGTTGAGATTATTGTTCAAGTAAATTTATAATAAAAATTTACTTCAACCAAAGTTGTAAAGAAACGGGACAATAGGGACCTGTAAAAAAAAGTGCAATTGGAGTTTCCTTGGGGAAAAACCTGATTTTTAGCAATAAAAAAAGTAATCTCTTCCAGATTATTCTATAGATAAGAGCATTACAAGACGACTTGAATCTTCATGTCAGGACCACATTCTGGGCATGGTGTACCAAAGGTTAGTCAGCTGGTTATGCAGTCTAGGTTTCTGTGTGTGATGCTCCTAGTGAGGAGTGGTGGTGCAGTGGATAGCGCACTGCGCTACGAACCCGGCGATCCAGGTTCCATTCCCGCTCACGCCCACCATCTGACAATTATTTTACCAGTCCTGAGCCTCCCCTAAGTCGACTTGGCCTCAAAAATGATACTTTGCACGATGTGTAAACATCAGCACTCAGCCTGGTGTTGGCCACCAACCCCCTTGTGCATAGAGGTGCTCGCTAACAGCACTTGGCCCAACAGTCTGCTAAGTCTAAGGGCGGGGGATCTTTGTCCTTTGTGCCGAGTAAATGACTTCTCAATCACTCCCCCAGGATAACGTTTACCAGGCCTGCCTGCCTCCTAGCCTGATTTCTTTGCCAATGTGAGGAGTCTTAACATTTGTTTTATGATCTTAAACTCTGCTCTGGAGTTTTCTAGCGTTTGTTTTTTTTTTCCATCGTCCTCCGGATGTTTGCCTGCACTGGCCCGGCCCGCTCGTGAGTTCACGCCAAAGCCTTCCACGCTAAAATGTGTCCTTTGCTCCAGGGGTTTTTTTTGGAAACGCTCGCCCTCACGGCCCCCCACCGGCTTTTTTTGTTCATAATCATCAGGCGTGTGCCGCCCGAAACCTCTTTAATTGATATTCGAGCCGGGAGGCATATCGGTAACCTTGGAACGGCGGCGGACCAGCGGCGGTGGATCCTGGAAACCGGTGCAATTTTGTGAAACCCCTGCAGTTGCTGTTTGAATGAGAAACTCATGCTGATGCACATTGGGAGATATTCTGCTCTTTGCTCGAGGTTGCTCTAACATTTTCAACAATAGGGGAAAAAAACAATACACTCATTTTACTTGCTTTAACTAATTGTAGCTTTTTTTTTTCCCCCGATAGATTTTCTTTCAATTGCCTGCCACACCACTGTCCAGTTTACAATGTGGGGACTTTTGATTGCGTCAAATTGTACGGCGCTGAGATTGGTGCGGTGTCGAGATTTGCGTTGCGTGTGAGGGTCTTAAAATGTAAACGTTTTATATTTCTCGTCCATTTTTTCGTCACTGCTCTGGTCGGGTCTGATTGGTGCTGAAGCTAATTGGGACCTGTCTGTGCCTTAATCACAAAAGGAGTTTAACTTTATATATAATCTCATACATAGCAGTAGTATTTTATATACTGAGCATTCGCAAAGTATAAGATTGTAACTTTTGTCATGAAATACTGGAGTATTTTATAGCCTCTTTGTTCATCCATCTTTGGGACGAAGGCCTCCTTGCACCTCGTTGGTCATGGAAGTTATCAGTCCAGTGTGAGCCAAACTCTGGTTTGCTGGCTTTGTAGTCCACCTAGATATTGACCTGTTGTTTTCAAATGTTAAATGGTGTTTTATACAATTCCTTTTGGGTTCTCTGTTATTATTTCTGTTACATTAACTCCGATATGTAAGTGGGGAGCACCTTTGACTCTCGAATTAAACCAAGCAAAGATTCAAGGCACACGTTCCCCTGCGTCGTCTTCTTGTCAACAAAACGGACGTCCACTCAGTAGTTGTATCTATCATTCATTTAATTTCAACCCAAACAGGAGGACGAACAGAGTGGGTAACACGGTCCTGAACAATGCCTTGTCAAGAAGCTGAACCTGGTAACCCCAACTCCATTCCATGAGGAATGGAGATCCGGTCCGAGCCTTTGGTTCTGCTCACTGGCTGCACCCTGCTGGATAGATGAACCAGCCATAAGTACTCTGCGTTGATTCGTAATGCCGTCAAGAGGAAATGCCCACTGTAAAGCACCACCAGTGGTTGATTTCTGCCGGAATGATCCGGAAAGGAACACTACCAGGAATTATTTTGACTTGCCCACATCCATCTTGGCTTATTTTGTCCTCAAACCAACCTATTCATAGGATTATAGGGATTGATATAGGGTAAAATAATATAGGATCAGGCATGCCTTGCATTCCTGTGGTTAGTGCCTTATGCGGCTAATACATACGCCAAGCCAGCTGAGCAGTGTAACGAACACGATGGAGTGAGAGATTAAGCCCTGAATGACAATGGTTTATGAAAGTGATTAGAAAATGCTGATTCATGGATTATGAAAGTTCTCCAGTTATTTTCCCCCCACTGAGTGAAAGTTTGGCAACTTGATTTCCTACAATACTGACAAGGTGCCAAACCAAAAAAAAAAATCCCTTAAGATGAACAAAAACACCCACAAAAAATATGAATCTCCAAAGTGACACCATCGACCAACCCCGTCGATTCACTTTGGCAACGTAGCACCAGACGGAACTTAACTTACTGAGAATTCCCAAGGCCTCTGCCCTGAGTAACAGACCTTGGCTTGGACCAACTGGAGGGGAGGGAATTTCAGTTGCAGGTCATTCAGCTTTGAGCTCCTCTCACCCCCCCCCACCCCCAGGGTAAAATGGTACAGTTCCTTGGAGAGTCACGCCCATGCAAGAAAGCACGTGCAATCCACTGCTGGATGAGGGCAGCCCCACACAGTGCGAGTCGTGGAGGGCGGGAGGTTATGGCTGTACTTTGCCACGCTGGTTGGTGCGGGTTGGTGAAGGCGGGGAGAGCATTGAAGTACAGTACAGCAACAGATTTTGGTGCACTGCCCAACCCAAGTAGTGCTGCATGCTGTTAATATTTGAACCGTCTTAGTGCAAGGATGGGTGACCATCCAACACAAAGGTGGCAGCAAGGCACATGATTGTTCCAATGGCAAAACAAATTGCACTGCAAGAAGAAAATTGGCTATCCGGGTCGTTTTGCTTACAACCATGGGGCCAAATTGGGCCACCAAAACGTCTCTTCCCCCCCCTCCCCAGCTAAATCCTGCACAAACAAAAAGCAAGCATTGTCGCAGCAGATTCATTCGTTGGGGGTAGTAAAGCCAACGGAGGCACCAGCCTCACGGAGCTGCGGGAGGTCTTAAACGTTCACTCGTGGGAACTTTCATGTTCGTACCATCGGTCTTGTCTTCCAGCGATCGACAAACGTTTCTTTCCAGTGCCCCCCCCCACAACAACACATCACCCCCCCACCCCGCTCCAACCATGCATCCCCCACAAACAACTTTTCCCAATTCCCAGTCTTCCACTTAATCTTATTATTATGACCACGACACCAAAAGCCAACAAAAGCTGCCAGTAGGATTGCATATAAAGAAGCAGCTGAACGTCATCATCATCGTCGTCGTCGGCGGCGTCGTCAGCATCATCATCGTAGCTACCCATGCCACGCGCGCGCGCACATGCATGTGGGAAAAGCCCCCCCCCCCACCCAATCCCTCATCCCCGCGTGCCAGTCGTGGTTGGGCTCCCGACGTCGTTTGCTCGTTGGACGAAGCTGCAGCTACGGGGAGTGCCGCTCTGGCCGACCACCCCCGTCCACTCGCGCGCGACGTTCACGAGTACAAGGTGAGCTGCAGCCACTGTGGGAAGAGGGGTCAGAAGGTCACGGGAGGGACGAGGGAAAGACACATTTGGGGTTACTATTTTTCCTTCGATGAACGTTATATTTTCATTGAAGCAAGCGAGAGAGATTGCTAAAATTATGTCATTGATGTGTTAACAACACTGTCCTCACAAAAATATATAAAATCGGTGACGTTTCGGACAATGGGCCTTCGTCAAAGCGCAACGTAAAATTAGATCCAATTGGTTGTGATAATTGTTGTTCAACTTGCCAGGGAACGAAACGAACGGGTGACAATTTTATTTGGCTATGCTGGTTG